GTCGCCGCGGCGCCCGCGGACCTCCCGCCGCCCCCGCCGCGGGACACGGGCGACGCCCCGCGCGCCGACGACCCCCCGCCCGCGCCATTTTAACCACGCGCGGCGCTCACCAGACGAGCGCGGTCGCCGACGCCTGGCTCCAGACCCGGGGCTCGACCATGCGCTTCGTCGTGGGGAAGACCGTGCGCGGCGCGCGGTGCTTGGACGTGTGCGTGACGACGCGCTCGTGGCTGTGGGGCATGTTCGACTTCCACTTGGGCCGGTCGTAGATGTCCGGCATGCGCTGCTTCGGGAAGGACCAGCGCGGCTCGGACTCGACGTTCGCCTTCGTGAGGCGGTAGGAGGACGGGCCGGGCGTCGAGCCCGGCGACCGCGCGGTGTGGGCCGCGTGGAGGGGGCGGCCCCGCCGGTTCGGCGTGTTCCGCTCGGAGATGAAGCTGTGCTGCGGGCTGCAGGGCCGCGACGAGATCGCGTCGGGGCTCGGCAGGTCGTAGGTGCCAGGTCCGGGGAAGTGGAGCGTCTGCTTGTTGAAGAGGCCGTCCGTCGACGACATGCGCCGCCCGATGGTCGGCGCCGCCGGCGTCGCCCACTGCGACAGCGTCTGCGTCCCGAGGCTGCCCGTGTAGCTCAGCACCGACTCGTTGGGCCCGTAGTCGTTGCAGGCCTGGAACCGCAGCGTCGAGTCCATGGTCCGGCCAACCCTGGCGGGGGCGAGCGCGCTTCGGGCAGCACCAAAAGCGCGCCTGCGGCGGCGTACACCGCGCGGAGAGGCGGCACCAAGGCGCTCCTTGAGAGTGGATACACTATTCAGTCTGTTTTTGTGCACCTTTGTCATGTGCACTTTTTCATCGCACGAGTCGACAATCTCAGCGGCATGTTCATCACACTGCTTTGCATATGCACGTGCGCGCTGGCATTGCGGCCGCCGTCGACGCTTATCGACAAAAGGAGCCTCCGCCGCGCCGCGCCGGACGACGACGAGGACGCGCGGCTCGGTCGCCAGCGCTTCGCCGATGCGCTGGACGACGGCGCGCTCGCCGAGGGCTACGAGCAGCGCTTTCCGCTGCCGCTCGTGACGGCGGCGCTGCTCGCGCCGACGGTGCTCGCGGCGGCGGCGCCCGTGCTCGGCCTGCTGCCGGCCGGCGGCGCGCCCGACGACGCGCCGCGCTTCCTGCTCGCGACGGCCGGCGCCGCGGCGGTAATGCGAGGGGCCGACGCGTCGCTCCTCCGCGCGGCCGTGGCGCTGCCGCTCTGCCCGCTCCGACTCACGGGCGACGACGATGCGCTGCCCGCGCGCGTCGCCGCGCGCTACGGCGAAGACGATTTGGCCGCGGCGGCGCTCGCCGCCGCCTACGCGACGACGAGCAGCGTCTTCGCGCACGGCGTGCTCCAGATGTACTTAACCGACAGCGCCATCCGCATCGCGTCCATCGGCGCGATGTGGGCCATGCCGGCGGACTACGACCCCATCGAAACCTGGTGGTGGCCGCTCGTCGCCAGCTGGACGGCGTTGGCCCCCGTGGTTGCCGCGGCGGGCGCCGGCGCCGCGGGCTACGCCTGCGAGCGGGCGCTCCTCGACCCCTGGCGGACCGAATCGTCGCCGGCCGCCGCGGACCCGCGCGTCGCGCGCGTCTTCGCGCTCGACGCGCCGCCGGAGCGCGCCGCGCGGCGGACGGCGGCCTACGAGGCCGCCGCGGACGCCTGGCGCGCGGACCGCCGCGACGAGGCGAACGCCGCGATCGTCTGCGCCGTCGCGACGTCCGCCGCCGCGTGCGTCGCGCACAGCTGGGTCGCGCCCTGTGCCGCGCGACTGATCGCGACGCGCCTAAGACGGCCGCCTTAGGCCCCCGCCACGACCCCCTCGACCTCGCGGATGGCGAGGGCGATGGAGAGGTCGCCCCGGGACTCGGTGTGGTGGGCCCAGTCGCTCGGGAACCAGAGCGCGTCGCCCGGGCCGATGGTCGCCTCGAGCGCGCCGCCGCGGACGAGGTCGAACGCGGCGTCGCCCGACGGCCCCGGGGCCGCCGCGTCGCCGTCGCGGGGCAGGCCCTCCTCCTCTCCTCTCCGCAGCGCGGCCTCGGCGGCCTCCGCGCCCGCGGCGAGCACGTCGACGCGGAAGCGGCGCGCGAGCGGCGAGTCGTCGCCGAAGGGCCGGAGCGCGGCCTTGGCCTCCGGCGGCCACAGCAACAGCCGCTTCTCGCCGACGACCTGGACGAGGTGCGAGTCCTGGGCGTCGTAGTGGAGCGGCGAGAAGACGCCGCCGCGGCAGGCCCAGAGCCGCGCGGGCGGCGCGGACCCCCGGAACGTGAGGAACCCCAGGTCCACGTCCGCGAGCAGCGCCGGCGGCGCGAGCGCCTGCGCGTAGACGTGCTCCTCGTCGGCGTCGTCGTAGACCAGATTCGGCCGCCGCTCGCCCCGCAACCTTCGCGCCGCCGCCGCGCCGCTCAGGACGACGCTCCGGCTCGGCGGCGCGACGTCGCCGCGCGCGACGGCCGGGTGCGACTCGCGGCAGAAGCTCACGGCGCTCTGCCGCGCGACCCGGCAGACGAGCGCCGCGGGGAAGGCGTCGGCGATGGTCTGCGCGTCCCAGCCGACCGCGCGCCAGCGCGCGCCGACGCCGCGGAGGATCACGGGCCTCCGCGCGGCGCGCGCCGCGTCGAGCGCGGCGCGCGCGCCCCCGCCGCGGCAGTCCACGGACGGGACGGCGCCGCCCGCCTCGACCCAGAGCTCCGGCGGCGCCGGCGACTCCGCGGCGGGCCCCGCGGCGCCCGCGCCGTCGTCGGCGACGGCCGGCGGCACGAGGCCCTCGAGCTTCGCGCGGACCGTTTCATCTAAATCGCCGTAGCCGAGGCCGTCGTGGAACATGGTCTCGCAGCAGCGCAGCAGCGCCGGGCTCCGGAACTCGGCGAGCGCGCCGAGCACGGCGCCCCAGGCGTCGCGCAGGGCGCCGTCATCGCTGCGCCGCGCCTCCTCGAGCCACTCGAAGGCGCCGTCGATGTCGCCCGTGTTCACGCACGCCACGCAGCGCTGCGTCGGCGATTGTGGTCGGCCGAAGTTGAGCGACGGCCACGACACCTCGCGCAGGGCCAGCGCCGCCGACGCGACGAGCAGCACGCGCATCATTGCGTCGATCGGTGTTTGGTGCACGGCGCGTTGAAGCGATGTTGATGCGGCCTGGGCTTTGCAGGCTCGAAGAAATGGGTGCTTATTCCATTGTGAATTGGGGGCTGTGCAGCAGCCCGCGGGGTCGCGTGTGAATTTCGTGGGGGGGGGTGCAGCGTTCAGGTGAGTCGAGACGGCCGACGGAATCGAGCCGGGACGAGCGTTCGTCGGGGAGGGATAGGTTCAAGTTTGGTGCGCTGCAGGACCGGAGTCCTCGCGCGTGCTTGGTGCGCTGCAGGACCGGAGTCCTCGCGCGTGCTTGGTGCGCTGCAGGACCGGAGTCCTCGCGCGTGCTTGGTGCGCTGCAGGACCGGAGTCCTCGCGCGTCGGGTTGTGTTGGCTAATTGGGTTGTTCAGGGCAGGTGTCGCAGGTCACCGGGCAGGCCTCCGTTGCGCTCGTGCCGGACTCGTCTTCTTTCTCGCAGCGATCTGCGGTGGCCTTGGCGACGTACTCGCAGTTCTTGCGTTCCTTTCCGGCGTAGTACCACGACGCCGAGTCTTCGCAGGCGGCGACGGGGCCCGGCGTCGGCTTGGCCGTCGGGGCGATCGACGTCGGCTTCGCCGTCGGCCACAGTGACACGCACGTGCCGCAGGTCACCGGGCACATTTCCGACGCGCTCGTGCCGGACTCGTCTTCTTTCTCGCAGCGGTCCGCGGTGGCCTTGGCGACGTACTCGCAGTTCTTGCGCTCCTTCCCGTCGTAGTACCACGTGGCGGAGTCCTCGCAGGAACCGACGGGGCCGGGCGTCGGCTCGAACGTCGGGGCGATGGACGTCGGCTTGGCCGTCGGGGCGATGGACGTCGGCTTGGCCGTCGGCCACATCGACACGCAGGTGCCGCATGTGACCGGGCAAGCCTCCAAAGCACTCGTCCCGGTCTCGTCCTCCTTCTCGCAGCGGTCCGCGGTGGCCTTGGCGACGTACTCGCAGTTCTTGCGTTCCTTTCCGTCGTAGTACCACGTCATCGAGTCTTCGCAGGAACTGACGGGGCCGGGCGTCGGCTCGAACGTCGGAGCGATCGACGTCGGCTTGGCCGTCGGGGCCATGGTCGTCGGCTTGGCCGTCGGCCACATTGACACGCACGTGCTGCATGTCACCGGGCACATTTCCAAGGCGCTCGTGCCGGAGTCGTCCTTTTTCTCGCAGCGGTCCGCGGTGGCCTTGGCGACGTACTCGCAGTTCTTGCGTTCCTTTCCGTCGTAGTACCACGTCGTCGAATCCAGGCAGGCGTCCGCGGCGACGGGCGCGGGCGTCGGCTTGGCCGTCGGGGCGATGTCGGCTTGGCCGTCGGGGCGATGGACGTCGGTTTCGCCGTCGGCCACATCGACACGCAGGTGCCGCAGGTCACGGGGCACATTTCCAAGGCGCTCGTGCCGGAGTCGTCTTCCTTCTCGCAGCGGTCCGCGGTGGCCTTGGCGACGTACTCGCAGTTCTTGCGCTCCTTTCCGTCGTAGTACCACGTCGTCGAATCCAGGCAGGCGTCCGCGGCGACGGGGGCGGGCGTCGGCTTGGCCGTCGGGGCGATCGACGTCGGCGAGAAGGCGCACGACCCGCACGTCGCCGGGCAGGCCTGAAGGACGCTCACGCCGTCGTCGTCCACGAGCTTCAGCTTGCATCTATTATCGGGTTTCTCGGACACGTAGCCGCAGGTCTTCTTGCTCTTCTTCTTGTAGAAGAACGACGTGGAATCGGCACACTCGATGGACGTCGGCGGCGGGGTCGCGCAAGTTTCGCAGGCCACGGGGCACGCGTCCGACCCGCTCACCCCGAAGTCGTCTTCCTTCTCGCAGCGATCCGCGCTCTTCGCGACGTACTCGCAGTTCTTCCGCTCCTTCTTATAGTACCACGACGTCGAGTCCTCGCAGGCGGCGACGGAGCACGACCCGCACGTCGCCGGACACGCCTGAAGGACGCTGACACCCTCGTCGTCCACGAGCTTGGACTTGCATCTACTATCAGGTTTCTCGGACGCGTAGGCGCAGGTCTTCTTGGCCTTCTTCTTGTAGAAGAAGGACGTGGAGTCGGCGCAGTCTTCGGCGACGGCGGTCACCAAAAGGACGAGGGCCACGAGCAGCCCTTCCGATCCCCGCCACATCCCACCCGCCATGGGCAAGCGCAGCCCTCGCGAAAACGGCAACTCGACAAGTAACTCGACGGCGCTTGAAGCGGCACTGATTAAAAGCAACCCTGCGGGAGGCGACGGAACGGATCATACAGTGGCTATACACTCTTGTCTTCGGCGGCACGCACGGTGCGCGTGGGTGCCGGCGGGGACGCGTTCAGGCGGAGCGACGTGGAGGGGCGCGAAGCGAGGGGGAGGGGGGGGGGGAAGAAGCGCGCGCGCGCGTCACGCGCCGCCCGGGCCGCGCTGGGGCGGCTGCGTGACGCCGTCGATGGTGACGACGGCGTCGCTCTCGATGGCGAGCGTGCGCTGGTCGAGCTTGTCGATGGAGTGCGCGAGCGCGATGAGCTGGCCGCGGAGCGCGGAGATCTCCGTGACCGTCTCCGGGTCGCGGTGGTAGTACTTGGTCGCGACGATGCGCTGGAGCTCGCAGACCGTGTGGGTCATCTGCGTGCAGTCGCCGCCCCACTGGCCGTCGAGCTTGGCGATCTTGCCCTGGAGCGCGCGCTGGCGGCCTTCCAGGGTCGAGAGCCGCGAGAGCGCGCCGTGCAGGTCCTCGCGCATCGCGTCGAAGTTCGGCGCGTCGCCGCCGTCGTAGCCCTCGCCGGTCTGGCGCGGCGGCGCGAAGGGCTTGGGCGCGCCGCCGTTGGGGTGGCCGCGGTCGTAGGGGTTCGCCGGCTCGCGGCCGGGCGGCGGCGGGCTGTAGTCGCGCCGCGCGGCGTCGAGGCGCGCGTTCTCCCGCGCGAGGCGCCGGTTCTCCTCGCGCAGCGCCGAGACCTCGTCCCGCAGGCCGTCGGCGCCGTCGTCCAGGAAGCGGCGGAGCCGCTCCGGGCCGACGTCGCGGTCGAGCGCGTGGCGGATCTTGTCCGAGACCTCGCGCGCGACGGCGTCGCTGAACTCGGCGATGAGGGGGCCCACGAGGCTCGACGCGTGGCCCCGGTCGGTGCGCCGCGGCAGCGGCGGCGGGCTCGGCGTGTGCCGCGGCGGCGTCGGCGCCGCGCGCGGCCGCTCGCCGCTCGCGCCCTCGGCGAAGCCCCGCCGGTACTGCTGGTACGCCGCGCGGTAGGCGAGGCCCCGCTCGCTGCTCATCTCGTCGCTCACGGGGTCGCTCAGGATCGCCGGGTAGGGGTAGGACGCGCCGTCGTCGCGGCCGCCGACGAACGCGGGCCGCTCGCCGCCGACCGCCCCGACGCCGCCGAGCCAGCCCGGCCGGCTCTCCTCGGGGCGGAACTCGGCGAAGGTCCGCGGCTTCGCCGCGGGGCCCTCGGGCGCCTGGTCCGCGCCGAGGTCGCCGAGCCGGTAGCTCTCGCCCCAGCGGTTCGGCAGCCACTCCGCGGGCTCGCTCTTCGCGCTGCCCAGCGACTGGAAGCTCCCGTGCGACGCCATCTTGCGCGCCGACTCGCTGGAGCCGGCGGAGTGCGGGGCTAGCATGTGATCCGCGGGCTATTGGGGCATCCGGACTCAGGCGTCGGCGGCCCGCGCGACGACAGAAGCGCCCGCTAACATCGTCGCACTTCTCAAGAGCGCGCGCCTCGATTTCTCCACAAGCGAGTTCATCTGGCCGATGTAAACATTAAAATTTTACCGACGCTTACTTCCGTATATATATGCGTGAGTTGTGCGCTGATGGTTCCCCCGCCGTACGAAAATTAAATGGCTGTCGTCGCGCAAGCGGTGCAGAGGGAAGCATTGACACGGGAATGAGTGGCTCAGCACGCGCGAGCGCGCCCGAAGGGCGCGCTCTCGCCGCGCCGCAGGCAAGCCCCCCCGGCAGGGGCAAGTAAGCCGCAGGCGTCTTGTCCATATATATATGCGTGAGTTGTGCGCTGATGGTTCCCCCGCCGTACGAAAATTAAATGGCTGTCGTCGCGCAAGCGGTGCAGAGGGAAGCATTGACACGGGAATGAGTGGCTCAGCACGCGCGAGCGCGCCCGAAGGCCGCGCCGCAGGCAAGCCCCCCCGGCAGGGGCAAGTAAGCCGCAGGCGTCTTGTCGAGACGATGCTGATGAGCTAGCGCGAGATGGGCGGAGGCAGCCCCAGCGACGATCATAAAAAGGACGATGTCGGCCGCATCTCGCGGCCCGTCAAGCGCCAGCTCTCGATCCAAGCGTTCAAGGCGAAGCGGTCCGTGGCCGTCGCCGTGGCGTCGCGGCGCGTCACGCAGTTTGGGTCGCCGAGCCGGTCCCCGTCGCCGTCGCGCGGCGGCCAGGCCCGGCGCACGATGCGCCACCACGGGCGGCGCGTCGCGGCGGGCGTCGGCCTCGCGCGCCACGCGAAGAAACAGCACGGCCTGGACACGCACAAGCAGCGGATGAGCCTCAGCCTCGCGGAGGCGTCGCGGCGCGCGGACGAGGCCGAGAAGAAGCTCAAGGACCGCAAGAAGCGGGAGCTCGAGTCGTCGTTCAAGGTCGCCGTGAGCATGAAGCTCAAGCTCAAGGGCGCGCGCGAGGCCATCGAGAAGCGGCGCGTCCTCAAGGAGAAGGAACTCAGGCGCGAAGCCAGGGAGCGCGAGCGGATGGCCGTCGCCGACGCGGAGCACGAGGTCATCCGGGCCGCCGAGCGCGCCGTCCGCAAGAAGGAGCAGGCCCGCGAGGCCCGCGCCGAGAGCGGCCGGCGCCTCCGCGAGCGCCAGGCCGCCAAGGCCGAGGCCGCGCGCCGCGAGTCGGCCGCCGCGACGTCGAAGAAGGCCGAGGCCGACGAGCGCGCGGCCATGGCCGCCGCGGACCAGCGCGCGCTCGCGCGGCAGAAGCGGGAGCGCGCCGCGCGGGCCCGGGCCTTCAACGAGGAGCGCGCGCGCGAGAGCCGCGACAAGCGCGACGCCGCGCTGCGGCGGCTCGCGAACTCGGGCCTGTCGCCGGAGCAGCTCCTGAAGATGGTCGCGCCCGAGGACGCCGCGGCGCTCCTCGAGATGCTCCTGGCCCAGGGCGACATCTCGCCCGCGGACGTCTTCCGCCTCGACCCGCGCTACTCCGCGTTCGACGCGGACGGCGTCCCGACGCACGACGCCGACGGCAACCCCCTGTCCGACGAGGAGCGCGCGCGGCTCCGGGCGAAGATGGTCGCCATGGGCGGGCTGCCCGCGGACCAGCTCTTCCGGGGCGACCCGCGCTTCTCGCGATGGGACGCGGACGGCGTGCCGACGCACGACGCCGACGGGAACCCGCTCTCCGAGGAGGCGCGCGCGAAGCTCCGCGCGCAGCTCGTCGCCGCGGGCGGGCTCGCGCCGGAGAAGCTGTTCCTCGGCGACCCGCGCTACTCGAGGTTCGACGCCGACGGCGTCCCGACGCACGACGCGGACGGGAACCCCCTGTCGGAGGAGGCGCGCGCGCGGCTCCGCATGCAGATGATCGCCGCGGGCGGCCTCGCGCCGGAGAAGATGTTCCTCAACGACCCGCGCTTCTCCCGGTGGGACGCGGACGGCGTCCCGACGCACGACGCGGACGGGAACCCGCTCTCGGAGGCGGAGCGCGCGCGGCTGCGGGCCCAGATGCTCGCGGCGAAGCTCCTCGCCGAGGGCCGCGACCCGCTCGACTACACGAGCATGACCCACCTCTACAGCCGCTTCGACGCCGACGGCGTCCCGACGCACGACGCCTTCGGCAACCCGCTCTCCGAGGCGGAGCGCGCGGCGCTGCGGGCCGCGCTCCTCGACGCGCGCGGCGCGGCCGCGCTCTTCCCGCCGTCGCCCCTCTCCGAGGCCGCGCGCGACGCCGTCGCCGAGCGCGCGCGCTGCGAGGCCATGCGCGAGGAGGCCGCGCGGCGGGCCAGGTCCGCGCGGCGGTCGCGGGACCGCGCGGCCGACGAGGCGCGGCGGCGCCGCGAGCGGGCCGCGCTGCTCCTCGACCCGTTCCACAACAACCCGAGGGACGTCTCCGACGGCGCGAACGTCCTCGACGTCGCGGCGCCGCCGCGCGCGGCGCTCCTCGAGGGGCGCTGGGCGTCCGCGCGCGCGCCGTCGGCGCTCGCGCTCTCGCCGTCGTCGTCGGCGCTCGTCCCCGCGGAGGCCGCGGCCCTCGCGCCCGCGACGCCCGCGCTGCGCCGGTCGGCGACGACGTCCGCGCGCTTCATCCTGAGCCACAGCCCGTCGTCGCGCGAGCTCGCGGTGCGGCCGACGTCCGCGCCGGCCTGGGGCGACCGGAGCGGCGACTCCTTCTCCACGGTGCGCACGCCCCCGCGGAGCCGGCCGAAGTCGGCCTACTCGGCGCTGTCCATCGAGCGCTCCACGCGCGCGACGTCGGTCATCGCCGTGGAGCGCGCGCGGCCCGCGTCGGCCCTCGCCGCGGCGCGCGCGCGCCGCGAGGACCTCGCGGCGTCCATCCCCGCGGGGCAAAACCTCGACCGCGCGTTCGCCGACGAGTGGAGGCTCCGGCTGAGCTACCCGCCCTGGAGCGGCTCCCGGTCGGGACCGCGGCCCGCGAGCGCGCCCGCGGCGCGGCGCCTCGTCGACGACTGGAGCTTCGCGTCGTCGGCGGCGTCGGCGGCGAGCCCCGGCGGCCGCCGCCGCGGCGCCGCGGCGGACGCGAGCCCCGGCGGCCGCCGCCGCGACGCCGCGGACGAGCGGAGCGGAGCGTCCTCGGCGGGGAGCATCGGCGCGCTCCTTCGCAACTCCACGGACGACGAGCTCGCGCGAATCTCGCTCGACGAGTCGTAAGAAATTAGCTTGCATGCGTCGTTGAAGGAAAGCTTCCTGGTAACGAACATATCACGAGTCGGGGCTGCCCGATGGACCGCCGGTTCCTGCGCCGGGCCGCCGCGCTGGGCCTGTGCTTGGCCGCCGTCGCCGCGACTCCCGAAACCGCGCGGCGGCGGCTCGCGAGCGCCAATGGCGCGTTCACGGTCGACGGCCTGTCGCTGGACGACGCCCAGGCGCACACGGCTGTTTTCGCGGCGGCCGTCGCGGACGTCGCGGCCGTCGATGCGGACGCGGTGTCCACGGCGGCCGTCGGCCGCGAGTCCGTCGTAACTTACGTGCTCGTGAGCTACGATATGGTCGACTTCGCGGACGTCGTCGAAGCCGGGGAGGCGAAGCACGCGGTCGACTCGTCTGTGAATTCCGGCGCCTTCGACGACGCTCTTTCGGCCGCGGCCGCGGACGCGGGCGTCTCCGCGACCTTCGCGGGCGTCACCGTGGGGCTCGCGGCCACCGCCGCGCCGATGTCGGCGGCGGGGAGCTCGTCGAAGAAGGCGGACGGCCCGTCGACGACCGAGGCGATCGCCGTCGCCGCCTGCGCCGCGGTGGCGATCGGTGTCGCCGTCTGCTGCGTCGTCAAGGGCAAGCACATCAGAACGGGCATCAAGGTCGCCATCTCGAAGCGGCCGTCCTTCGAGCCCCTCGGGCCGCGGCCGGATGAGCGGCCGGAGGACCCGCGCGCGGCCGACGTGAAGAAGCCGGCGCGCCCGCCCGTCCCGCTCCTGAACCTGGGCCCGAGGGACGACGTCGAGGACTCGAGGAAGCCGGAGGAGGCGACGGCGAGCCTCATGTCGATCAACCCGGAGATGTCCAAGGGCTTCCGCCTGACCTTCACCGCGAAGAACTGGCAGCGTTACGGCGGCCACATGCCCGAGGACGCCGTCGACGCCGCCGTCGCGTCCGGCGCGCCGCCCCCGACCCCGCGAAGCAGGGTCATCGCCTCGTAGACCGTGTTTTTTATCTTTTTTTTCTGCAAGACGGGAGCAACGTCGGCTGATTTACCGACACTGCCAGCCTGTGATGAAATTGGAAGCTTGGCAGCCCACGCTGGCCCGGCGTCCGTACGGACAGTTCGGGCAGCCGCGCGCCGACGCGCGGTGGGCGAGCATGTTCAAGAGCTGCAAGCCATTCGCGCCGACGTGCGCCGAAGAGACGGCGCCGAGCGACGACGACGACGGCGCGCGGACGGTCGCGTGGGACGTGTGCTTCGTCCTCCCGGCGGAGGGCGCGACGAAGAAGGGCGCGCTCTGCGCCAAGTGCTTCGCGCCCCCGGACGACGGCGACGACGTCGCCGCCGCGAAGCTGACGGACGTCGAGGAGGGCGACGAGGAGGGCGGCGCGGCGGTCGGCGCGCCCATGTTCCTGCGGCTCGTCGAGCGGCTCGGCGGCGCGGGCCTCGCCTACAAGTCCTACTACTCGATCCAGTCCGACGAGATCTACGTCAAGGTGCGCGCGAGCGAGGCGCGCCTCGCGGCGCAGGCCGACGCGCGCGACCTGCCCATGCCCCTGGAGGAGGTTCCGCTCGAGGCGCGGATGGCCGCGGGCTTCCCCGAGCTCTCGATCAAGCCCGTCGCCATCGGCACGACGGTCGGCGGCGCGCCCGTGTCGTCGCTGCGCCCCTACGAGCACGTCCACGCCAAGTTCGACGACCACGCGGCGCTCGCGCCGCTCTACCGGCGGCCGCCGCGCGACTGCCGGCGGTCGGCGGCGTCGCCGTTCCGGTCCATGCACCGCGTCAAGCTCGTCACGGACGCGATCATGACGTCGCGGCGGTCCGGCGGCTGCGAGATCGCGCTCCGGCGGCGGCTCCTGCGCAAGGAGATTCTCGCCTACCTGCCGCTCCACGACCCCGCGGAGCGCCAACGGCTCTACGCCGCGTGGCTCGCGTACCCGGCCTTCGGGTGCCCCGGCGGCATGCCCTTCGACGCCTGGCGCGACTATTTCGGGGAGATGCACGCGCTCTACATGGTCTTCCTCGGCCACACGGCGACGATGGCCGGGCGCCTCGCCGTCGCGGGCCTCGCCGCGTCCGCGACGATCTGGTCGCTCGGCTTCGACAGCCGCGGCGCGCACGCCGCTCGGACGGCCTACGGCGCCGTGCTCCTGGTCTGGATGATCGCGTTCCACGTGGCGTGGAGCCGGACGCAGGCGCGGTGCGCGCTCCGGTGGGGCATGGCGGACTTCGAGAAGGAGGAGCCGCCGCGGCCGCAGTACGAGGGCGCCGTCGTCCGGTCGCCCGTGAACGGCCGCGAGGAGACGTGGTTCCTGCCGCGGCGGCGGCGGCCGCGGCTCGTCGCGACGGGGCTCGTGACCTTCCTCATGCTGGCGCTCGTCTGCGGCTTCATCTTCCTCATGATGATCTTCAAGCACCAGGCGGGCTTCCGGCGCCGCTACGGCGCGACGCCCGCGGCGCTCGCGAACGCGCTGGGCATCCAGGTCTTCCACTTCGCGTACCGGCGCATCGCCGTCAAGCTCACGTCCCGCGAGAACTGGCGCACGGAGACGGAGTACGCGGACCGCCTCACGCTCAAGCTCTTCGTCTTCAACTTCGTGAACGCGTACGGGTCGCTCTTCTTCACCGTGTTTATTCAGACGCACATCCACATCCCCCACGAGTACGGCGAGTCGAAGTGGGACTGCCTGGACCACGACTGCCTCCACGACCTGAACTACAATTTGTACATCATCTTCACGGTGTCGCTGCTGGCCCAGGGCTTCGCGTCCGTCGTGATTCCTTTGTGCAAGCGCAAGTACCACCGCGCGCGCGAGACCGCGGGCGAATCGCGCGTCGCGATGACCAAGGCCGAGTGGGAGTACCTGCTCGTGGAGTACGACGAGACGCTGGACACGGTGCGCAACTACAACACGACGGCCGTGCAGTACGGCTACATCGCGCTCTTCCGGGCAGCACAAGAGAGCGAAATTCCCAACTTCAAAGGCTCCTAGCTCGGCCATTTTCCACTCGTTTCGGCTGATTTTTGGACGAGCGATCATCTCTCGGAACGGTCTCGAAGCGTGGATGTGTTTTCCGGAACGCGCGCGCCCGGAACACCCACGTTGAAGCGACGTTGAATCACTCTTGTGCTGCCCAGGCGCTCTTCTCCGTCGCCGCGCCCGCGACGACGCTCGTCGCGCTCGCGAACGACGCCATGCTCCTGCGGCTCCACGGCTACAAGTACCTCACGAACTACCGGCGCATCGAGCCCACGGGCGCCCAGGACATCGGCGTCTTCGAGCAGGTCTACGCGTTCCTCAACGTCGCCGCGGCGCTGTCGAACGTCGCCATTTTGGTGTATCTACCGCCGGTCTACACGCGGGCGAACGGCCACTCGAACGGGAACCGCGCGGCCATCTACATGGTCGCCGTCGCCGTCGTCACGGCGCTGCTCGTCTTCGGGCGCCTCGTCGCCGAGGAGGGCGACCCGGACGTCGACCTGCAGCTGCTGCGCCAGGACTTCATCCGATCGAAGATCGTCGACAAGATCGCCGACGAGGAGGAGACGGTCCACGTGGACGCGACGCCCGTCGTCGAGGCCGTCGCCGCGGAGGACGACGAGCCCTACTACGCGTCCCTCGCCGACGCCTTCGCGCCGCCCAAGGCGTCCCGCGACGAGGCGGCGCCCGGCTGGCGCGTCGCGACCGCCGGCGCCGCGACGTCCGGCCTCGAGCTCGACGCGCCGCCGAAGGCGCCCGCCGTGTCCGGCCTCCAGCTCGACGCGCCGCCGCGGCCCGCGCCCGAGTCCTTCGCCGCGGCCGCCGCGTCCCTCAAAGCCGCGCCGTCGCTCGCGGACGCCATGGACGTCAACTTTGGCGTCGAGAGCGACGACGACGACGCCACCTGCGGCGCGTCCTGCGCGGCGCTGCGGTGAAACTGCTTCTCCCCCCCCCCCCCAAGAACGCGAGGCCCTTCGCCTGCAGCGTCGTAGATACACATGCATACATGCATGTTGAACTATCAATTGAAGGTCAAGTTGCCGCGTGCGCCTCGAGCTGATGCACCAAAATCAGAGCCTTTGCACGATGCTGGCCACGCTCTTGTCCTGTGCGCCGATGGCGGCCCAGGGCATGCGCTTCGCCGTCCGGCGGCTTCGCATGCAGCGGAGCCTGCGGCCGCAGCGGCCGCGCGGCCGCGTGGTCATGCGGCTCGGCGGCGGCGCCTTCGAGTTCCCCGAGGAGGACCGCTGGCGGCCGCACCTGCTGCGCGACGCGCCGGAGGCGACGACGGTGCGCGTGCTGCGGGAGGCCGAGTACGACGCGTGGCTCGCGGCGCGACCCGACGAGACCAGGGCTTATCTGGAGGCCGCGGGGCTCGGAGAGTTCAAGGGCGACGCGCTCGCGCTGCTGCCGGAGCGGACCTGGGCCTTCCTGACCAAGGACCCGTCGAAGCTCTTCGCGTTCTCGTCGCTGCCCAGCCGCCTGCCCGGCGCGGGGCCCTACGCGCTCGAGTTCGCCGCGCCGCCGCCGGCGACGGCGGCGCTGTCCTGGGGCCTCGGCTGCTACAGCTTCGAGGCGTGCAAGGGGTCCACGGCGCCCAAGGCCGACGCGCCGCCCAAGTTCGCGTCGCTGGTCGTCCCCGCGGAGAACGACTACGGCGACGCCGCGGCCGCGCTCAAGGGCACGTACCTCTGCCGGGACCTCATCAACGCGCCCGCGGGCGACATGCAGCGTCCCGCGGCGGCGACAATTTTCGAGAGCTTTTGAAACGACGAAAAATCGTCACCGACGTGCTTGGTAGGCGACATGGGCCCCGCGGAGCTCGAGGCCGTCGCGCGGAGACTCGCGGCCGCCTACGGCGCCGCGGTCGCGACCGTCGAGGGCGACGCGCTGCTCGCGGGCTACCCGCAGATCCACGCCGTCGGCCGCGCGGCCGGCGAAAAGCAGCGGCCGCGCCTCGTCGACCTGACCTGGGGCGCCGCGGACGCGCCCAGGGTCACGCTCGTCGGCAAGGGCGTCTGCTTCGACACGGGCGGCCTCGACCTCAAGCCCGCGGCGGCGATGCTGACGATGAAGAAGGACATGGGCGGCGCTGCGCACGTGCTCGGGCTCGCGGCCATGGTCATGGACGCGGGTTTACCGGTGCGGCTGCGCGTGCTCATCCCCGCGGTGGAGAACGCCGTGTCCGGCGACGCGTTCCGGCCCGGCGACGTGCTCGCGGCGCGCAACGGCAAGACGACGGAGATCGGCAACACGGACGCCGAGGGGCGGCTCGTCCTCGCGGACGCGCTCGTCGAGGCGTGCGCCGACGCGCCGGAGCTGCTCGTCGACTGCGCGACGCTCACGGGCGCGGGCCGCGTCGCGCTCGGGACGGACGTGCCGGCGCTCTTCGCCAACGAGGAGGGCGTCGACGTCGCGGACGAGCTCGTCGCCGCGTCCGCGGGCGAGCAGGACCAGGTCTGGCGCCTGCCGCTCTGGCCGGGCTACCGCGAGCAGATCGACTCGAAGATCGCCGACCTCAAGAACATCGGCGCCGGCCCCTACGGCGGCGCCATCACCGCCGCGCTCTACCTCGCGGAGTTCGTCGAAGCGCCACCCGACGGCGGCGCACCGCCGCCCTGGCTCCACCTCGACATGATGGCCTACAACACGGGCTCCAAGCCGGGCCGGCCCGAGGGCGGCGAGGCCATGGGCATGCGCGCGCTCTTCCGGCTGCTGGAGGCGCGCTACAAGGCGTAAGTTAGGCACGGGACTGCGACTGGAAGGGGCTGGAGATAGGCCATGCCTCAGGCCAGCCCCCGGTGGAGCCTCCCGACGCCTCCCGCCTCGAGCTCGGGTCCGTCGTCGATCGCCGAGCGAGTGGAGATCGACGCCATGGACCCGGCTTTGCTTGCGAAAAAGCGCGATTTCGAGGCGCAGAAGGCCCGTACAAAGCTTGCGCTGAATATCTGCACGATTTGCGGGAACAAGGATGCCCGAGCATGTCAAGGTTGCGGAACCACAGCGTACTGCTCGACGGATTGTCAAAGAATCGACTGGCGCGACCGGGGCCACCGAAAGGCGTGCAAGAAGATCCGAAAAGAGCGCGCGGCGGAGGCGGCGCGGGCCGAGGCGCCGACGCCCCCGCCGTCGCCCCCGGTCTACGGCCCCGCGCCGCGGTCGCACGCCGACGAGGTCCGCGCGCGCATCGCGGCGGAGCACGAGGCCGCCCGGGCGCGGCGGGAAGCGAACCCGGAGCCGGAGCCGGTGATTGCGCGATTCGGGGGACGGTGCCCGCTCTGCTTAGAGGACTGGGACGTGAACGAGACTCCTAGGCTTCGTGCCTGTTGCTGTCGAAGAATTTGCAAGTCGTGCTTCGAGAAACTTGAAGGCAAGGACTGCCCGCTCTGCCGCAAACCGATGCCGGGAATTGGAGAAACTCTTGCGCGGCTTCGTTACCATGCTCAGAACGAGGTGCCGGAAGCGATGAATGCTCTGGGCGAAATACACCGCGACGGTAGGCCGGGCGCCGTGAAATGTACGAGGAAGGCCGCGAAGCTCTGGAAACGCGCCGTGGAGCTCGGGAACGTGAGCGCGATGATCAATCTTGGGGTGTTATACGATCACGGAGATGGCGCCATGAAGAAGGACATGAAGAAGGCGTTCCAGCTGTATCAGATGGCCGCGGAAAGAGGCTTCGCGAAGGGCCAGTTCAACCTCGGGAGCATGTTTTACGACGAACTCGCATTCAAGGATGACAAAAAGGCCTTCCACTACTTTAAGCTCGCTGCTGAACAGGGATATGTCCTTGCGATGCCAAAGGTGGCTTACTGCTATGTGAATGAAATTGGAGTGGGACGCGACATCGGCGAAGCCAAGCGCTGGTACGCGCGCGCAGCCGCCAACGGCGACGAGGAGTCCGCAGGTGCGCTCGAATTTCTGAACGCGAGACGGAGGTAGCCAAGCGCAGGACGCTACTTCAGTAGTAGGAGTAATAGGTCATTCTTTATATTCGTGGGAGCGCCCGCGGGGAGCGCCTAGGACTCGCGCGCGCGCGCCGCGTCGGCGCGGTCGTTCTCGACGGCCTTGCGCAGCTCGTCGCTCGCCTTGATGGCCCCCGGTCGCTTCTCGAAATCGTCGCAGACGCGTTCGAGCGCCTTGCCGCAGTCCGCCCTGTGCGCCGGCCACGCCGCGCGCTGGCACTCGCGGCCGCAGTAGAAGATGAACTTGCAGCGGGCGCAGGCGCTCAATTTCGCGCTCGAGTGCTTGCCGCAGTAGTCGCAGACGAACTGGCGGCCGAGGCGCTTGGCGTCGCTGCGCAAGGCCTTGTGGACGGCCTTCTCGGCCTTCTCGCCGCCCTCGCGGAGCTCGCTCACGCGCACGCGGTCGCGCTGGTACGTGCACCCCGCCCGATACGTAGGATCGCCGCCGTGCTCGACGGCGTCGGCGGCCGCGGCGCGGTGGAGCGCGCGCTGCCGAGCCGCGGCGAGCGCCTGGGCCTCGGGCGACGGGAGGCCGCCGCGACCGGCGATCGCGGCGCGAAGCAGCGCGAGGACGTCCCCGCAGCCCGGAAGCGGCGCGCCGCGCTCGTCGACGAGGAGATCGTGCGCGAAGAAGCGCCCGGCGTAGAGGCGGGACGTTTCGCCCGCCTGGGCGGCCGTCTGCAGCAGGGGGTCGGCCCCGGCGCGGATCAGGACGCGCGCCGACTCGAGCTCGGAACCGTACATGGTCGCGCTGTGGTCGCGGACGTGGGGGTCGACGTCCGCGTCGCTCTTCTCCCCACCCTCCCAGTAGTACCGAGACGCGCGGTGGCAGACGATGTGGAGCGCCGTCCACCCCGTGGCGTCGGTCGCGTTCGCGTCCGCGCCCAAATTCAGCATGAGCTCGATGACCTTGTGCCGCGCCTTCTTGGCGACGATCGCGAGCGGCGCCCGGGCGGTGGCCAGGCACCCGCGCTCCAAGTTGTAGGCGTTCAGATCCGCGCCGCGGTCCACGAGCGCCTGGATGACCGGGGCGCACGAAGAGCGCGCCGCGTGCGGCAGAATGTTCGTCGCCGCTGCCGCCGGAAGCGTCGCGATCTTCGCGAGCGCCCGCGGGTCCACCGGAGCGAACTCGTCGCCGGGGGCGCGATTCACCTTGCCCAGCAAGTCACCGCCGCGGCTGGGATCCATTTGTAACAACTGCACCATCGCTTCCGGGTCGTTCAAATCCAGGAAAATCCCTCCGCCCAAGAACATGTCGGCCATAGGCCCGAGATCTGGCGCTGGCGCCGCCGGTGCGTTCCTCGCTGGCGTGGCCGTCTTCGGCTTTCTCGACTTCTTACCCATCTTTTTGTGTGGGGAGGGGGCAGGCGGCGCAGGTCAGCGCGAAATACCACAAAAATCAGAGTCGCGAGCGAGCGACCGGAGGCTTGACCAGCTCCTTGAAGTTAGCGAGAGCCTAGCGAGGCGCTAAGCGCTGCTGTTTACGACCCCCTACCGTCCTCACTTGCTCAGCGAGTCGTCCAGCGCGCGGAAGTCCTTGAGGAAGAACTGGAAGAAGTCGACGGAGAGGTCGATGTCGTGGACGCCGCCCATCTCGCGGATGGAGTGCATGGAGAGCTGGGGCATGCCGACGTCCGCGGCGCGGATGCCGAAGCGCGACGCGAGGATGGGCCCGATCGTCGAGCCGCAGGGGCAGTCGTTGCGCACGACGAAGTCCTGGAGCTCCGGCAGCCCGCCGCGCCGCGCGGTCTCGCGGAGCAGGAACCCCGTGACCGCGTCCGTCGTGTAGCGCTGGTTGTTGTTGACCTTGAGCACGAGGCCGTGGTTCATGCGCGGCGCGTGCGCGCCGTCGTGTTTGTGCGCGTAGTTCGGGTGCACCGCGTGCGCCATGTCGACGGACAGCAGGATCGACCTCCGCATCGCGACGGCGAGCGCCTCGGCGTCCTCGAGGCCGTCCTTCGCGCCGCTGCCCTGGGCCTTCCGCAGCGACCGGTGGAGCCGGACGAGCGCGTCGCCGAGCACCGGCGACCCCGCGCCGTGCGCGGACGCGGACCCGATCTCCTCGTGGTCGAAGAGCGCGACCACGGAGACGTCGGCGTCGTCCGCGAAGGCGTCGGCGTCGTCGACGTGGCCGAGGAGCGCCTCCGTGAGGGCGTAGCAGGCCGCCTGGTCGTCGAGGCGCGCGGACGCGACGAACTCGCCGAACGCGCCGGAGATGGCGCCCGCCTGCGTGTCGAAGAGCGTCAGGTCGAAGTCGGCGACGTCCTCGGGCTCGACGCCGAGCTCGTGCGCGACGAGGTCGACGAGCGCCGGCGGGTGGTGCGACGCCCAGCCGTCCGTCGCCGGGGCCTCGGCGTCGTCGTCCGCCGACGGCTGGAGCTGCGCCGCGGCCGTCGAGCAGAGCACGGGCTGGAGGTCCGTCTCCTTGTTGAGCGTCAGCGCGTCGCGCTCCGCCGCCGTCTGGAGGTGGATGCACAGGCTCGGCACGCGGACGACGGGCGCGTCGACGCGCACGAGCCGCGCGTCGAAGGTGCCGTCGCCGTTGCGCACGACCGCGCGGCCCGCGACCCCTAAATCCCGGTCGAGCCACGTGTGCCACAGGCCGCCGCCGTAGCACTCGACGCCGACCTGGGCCATCGCCGCCGACTTGTCCTTGCCGTCGGCGTCGGACCGCTTCGAGACGGGCCGCACCTTGAGCACGGGCGTGTCCGTGTGGCCGCCCAGCAGCTTGAACGCCGCCCTCGTGCCGTCGCATCGGCCGCCGACGGCGACGGCGATGATCGTGCCCTCGTGCCGCGTGATCAGGTACTTGCCGCCGGCCTCGACGACGTCGCTCCAGGGCTCGCCCTCCTCGAGCTCCGTGAAGCCCCTCGCGACGAGCTGCTCCTTGACGTTGCGCGCCATGTGGTAGGGCGTCGGCGACGCGTCGATGAGGCCGATCATCGCCTCGGCGCGCGCGCGCGCCCGGTCCGAGGGCACGACCTTGCCGGCGTTGGGCATGCGCGATGCTTTTAGCGCGTCGCTGCGCCGCCCGAGGCGCATGGCAACCATGATCAGCAGGCGCCGCATGCTAGCTGCCGGCTGCCGGCTGCGACGCAGTCGTTGCAAGCCGGCGCGCAGACGACGGACCGGGGCGCTGCGACGCAGTTGGTGCAAGCTGGCGCGCAGACGACGCCCGGGGCGCTGCGACGCAGTTGGTGCAAGCGCGCAGACGACGGACCGGGGCGCTGCGACGCAGTTGGTGCAAGCGCAGACGACGGACCGGGGCGCAGGAGCTCGTTCAGTGCTCGATCCTTGGAAGTCGAGTTGAACGTCAAGGTCGACGGCAATGTGCGATCGCGCCGCCGTGCGTAAAGATAAAGGCTAGATAAAGACTCCGCTGAGGTTGTGCTGCGGTGCGTTTACGAGTGTGGGCGTCCCCCCGGCCTATCAAAGCTCGTCGCCGGCGGCGGCGGGCCCGCGCGCGACGTCGACGTCGTCGTCGTCGTCGTCGCCGCCGCCGCCGCCGGCCGCGCCCCCCCGCGCGCGCGCGACGAGGTCCGCGAGGGCCGCGGCGTGCTCGTCCCGGACGCCGAGGAGCTGGGGCGCGCCGTGCGCGTGCTCCGGCTCCCCGGCGACGACGCGCGCGGCGGCCTCGAGCACGGCGACGACCTCCCCGTGGATGGCGACGTGCGTGCCGGCGTCGCGGGTCGCGGCGAGCTCGGAGCGCGCGCGGTCCGCGTACTCGACGGCCGCGTGGAAGGCGACGAGGGCGCCGCACGCGGCGTCGACGAGGCCGCCGAGCGCCGCGCGGTCGTGGCCCGGCCGCGCGCGGAGCTCGGCGAGCGCGCCGCAGCCCGCGCGGAGCTCCGCGGCTCGCGCGCGGTGGCGCGCGGCCGCGGCCTCGGCGTCGCGCGCGGCGCCGGCGTCCCAGAGGACCGCGTGCTGGCCCTTGGCCGCAAAGTCCGCGTAGGCGGCGCGACGACGTCGTGGAGCGTCGCGTTCCACGACCCCTCGCGCGCGAGGCGCTTCTCCGCCGCGGGCCAGAAGCCGACCCGATTTTCCGCGCTCGACCAGGGGCACGCGGCCGCGGCCGCGAGCGCCGCGAACTTGGCGTGGTCGTCGCCGCGGATCGTCGCGATGGCGATGCGCTCGTCGTGGACCGCGCAGTGGTCGGGGTCGACGGCGGAGGCCGCGTCGAGGTGCGCCTCCGCGGCCGCGAGGCCCGGCGCGAGGCCCGCGGCGTCGCCCCGGAGCGCGCCGTCGACCGTGGCCCTCACGACCAAACGCGCGTGGCGCGCGCGCATCTTCGCAGACCGCGGGCACGTGGCCACGGCGGCCGTCGAGAGCGCCATGTCGTCGGCCCAGGCCGGGAGCCGATAGCGGAGCCGCGCGGCCGCCGCGGCGACGACGACGGCGGCGGCGAGGGTCGTAGCGCGGCGCCGCCGCGCGGTTCCGCCCGCCGCGGCCCGCGACACGGCGGCGGCGAAGAGCGCGCTCAGGCCCGCCGTCGGCCCGTAGAGCAGCCGCTCCCCGACGAGCGTCCCTGCGACGTTGAAGATCATGAGCGCCGGCAGGAGCGGCAGCGCGATCCATGCGAGGGCCTCAAGGACGCGCCAGCGCGCGGCGACGTCGCGCAGCGCCCAGAGCGCCGTCGCCGCCGCGACGGCGTAAACGGACAAGGCCCCCAAATTCCGCGGGTCGCCGAAGGTCTCCACGGCCGGGAGGCAGTCGTAGCTGTACTCCGCGCAGAGGTCCTTGGGGAAGAGGAGGAGCCGCGCGTAGTTGGCGTGCAGGTACGCGACGCTCAAGAGCCGCGTCTTGGACCACTCGGGCAGCTGCGCGTAGGGGTTCTCCGCGCGGCGCATGAGCCCGGAGCCGCCGAGGCCGGAGCCGCCGAGGCCGCTCGCCGGGTCCTCCCAGAGGGCGCCCGTCGCCGCGAAGCGCCGCGCGGCGAGGTACGCGACCGCGACGGCCGCGAGCGGCGCGATGCGCGCCGCGGCGCCGGCCGCGGCGCGCGGCGCGGCCTCGCCGCCGCTCGCGACGCGCGCGGCCGCCTCGAGGGCGACGCGCGCGGCCGCGAGCGCGGGCCCCGCGAGCGCGACCTCCTTGCAGAGCACGCCGCAGGCGGCGGCCGCGGCGGCGCCGAGGAGCCAGGCGGCGCCGCGCAGGCCGCCGCGGCGCGCGCGGGCCGCGCAGGCGTGGCCCGCGAGGCACCAGAAGCACGCGAGGACCTGCGTCGATTCGGCTGATTTTTGGACGGATCGATTGCTCTCATCGAGTTCTCGAAGCACGGCCGAAGAGCTCGTGTCGAAACATTCGAACACGCGCACATCGACGTCGGGTTGAAGATTTGATTTCCGCACGGGCGAGGACCTGCGACCGCTGCGCGACGTTCGCGACGGCCTCCGCGTGCACCGGGTGCGCCGCGAAGAGCAGGCCGCCCGCGGCGGCGCCCAACGCCGCGGCCGCGCGGTCGCCGCGGCCGAAGCGGTCCGCGGCGCCGGCGCAGAGGCGCGCCGCGAGGGCCGCGTTGACCCCGTGGAGCGCGACGCTCGGCAGGCGCGCGGCGCGCGGCGCCAGCGGCCCGCCGGACCACCAGGTCTGCGCGCGGTAGCTCGCGATGGCGAGCGGGCGCCAGGACCGGTGCGAGTTCATGCTCCGCATGCTCCGGCCCCAGCAGTCGTTCCAGAGGACGGAGGACCAGGACGTCTTCGCCACGTCGACGTCGTCGTTGTTCGCCACGTGCAACCAGTCGTCGAAGGTGTACTCGAAGGCGAGCGATTGCCAGAACAGCGCGACGGCCACGGCGCCGCAGAGGGGCGGGATCCAGGCCTCGACCATCGTCTTCGACGGGCGAAGGCGCCGCCGGCGCGCAAGGCGTCGGGCGGCGGGCTCTTCGACGACGTCGACGATGCGCCGCCGGCCGTCAAAACAAAGAGCACTTGGCCCAGGCGTCGATGGAGGTCGACCTATACCCTCGGTACAGCCGTAGGCTCAGGTAAAAAAGTTGGCGATGTCGGCGACAATAAATAATCGCCACTGCGAGTGGAGGGGCCCCGTCGACGCGTCTCGTGGCAGAGATTTGAGTTTTAGTGCGCGGTCAGAGATCATGGATCCGGAACTGATCAAGAAGAAGCGAGAGTACGAGGCGCGAAAAGCCCGTACAAAGCTGGCACTGAGGAACTGTACCATCTGCGGCGCAGCAAATGCGAAGCTCTGCCGAGGCTGCGGCACGACGGCCTACTGTTCCGAGGCTTGCCAAAAGGTCGACTGGCGCGACCGGGGCCACAAAAAGGCCTGCAAGAAGATCCGTGACGACCGGGCGGCGGAGGCGGCGCGGCCCGAGGCACCGACGCGCCCGCCGTCGCCGCCGCGCGACGTCTTCTACGGCCCCGCGCCGCGGTCGCACGCCGACGAGGTCCGCGCGCGTATTGCCGCGGAGCACGAGGCCGCGCGCGCGCGGCGCGAGGCGAACCCGGAGCGGGAGCCGATGTCGACGCGGTACGGGTCGCGGTGCCCTTTCTGCCTCGAGGACTGGGACGTGAACGAACCAACTGCGCTTCAACTGTGCTGTTGCCAGAAGATATGCGTATCGTGCATGGAAAAGACGTATGTAAAGCCATGCCCTCTCTGTCGTATGCCGTGTCCGAGAAGCGACGCGGAAGCTCTGGCGAGGGTCCGTCGCCACGTGGAGAATGACGTGCCGGAAGCGATGACTTATTTGGGGAACGCGTACCGCGACGGCCAATATGGCCTCGTGAAATCCATGAAGAAGACCGTGCGCCTCTACAAGCGCGCAGTGGAGCTCGGGAACGTGGAAGCCATGCTGAGCCTAGGGAGCTGCTACTCCAAAGGATTCGGCGTCAAGATGGACAGGAAAAAAATGGAGCAACTTTGGCGTATGGCGGCAGACCGGGGCCAGGCGATGGCACAAGCCAAGGTTGCACTATTATGTGAAAACGAGCTGGAACAACCCAGCCAAGCGTTTCGTTTGATGAAGCTCGCCGCCGAACAGGGCTACACGAAGGCGGAAAATATACTCGGCCGGTATTTCCTTACTGGCGTCGGCGTGGAAGCCGACCTCGGACAAGCCAAACACTGGTTCGCGAGCGCGGCCGCCAAGGGCCACGAGCTAGCCAGAGAGGAGCTCGCTGAACTAAACGCCGCGTAACGTTCAACAGTAGTAGTATATACACGACTGTGGATGAATCGCCAACTGCGAAGCTTTCTAGTTGTTGCGGTACAACAGGTACAACATCAAGAATGACTTACTACGTCGGAAAGAACATTTTGCGCATCTCCCCCACGAACTTCTTCGAGTGGCCCTCGGCACTCTTCTTCAGCTTGCCGAGCATCTTCTTCCGGACCTTCCCGCCGCCGCCGGCTTCGACGGCCTCGGGCGCGTCGTCGGCGACGTAGTCCTCGGGGACGGCGTAGACGAGGGCCTGCGAGATGGCTCGCGGCGTCTCGTCGCGCGCCGCGCCGTCGTCGGCCGGCGCGGCCTTGGTCTCCTCGGCGGCGGCCGCGCGCGCGACGACGGCGCGCGCGGACGCGCGCGCGCCGGCCTCGCCAAAGGCGGTCACGGCCGTCGCGGCCTTGGCCGCGCGCTTGATGTGGGACGGCAGGGGCGTCGACGGCCGCGACCGCGCCTCGAGCACGACCTGCTGCTCCGCGAGGTCGAAGTAGCCCTTCGGGTCGCGCGGCGCGAGCGCGGCGACGACGGCCGCGTGGCGCACGGCCTTCTGGATCTGCGAGCTCCGCGGGTTCGCCGGCGGCGCGAAGGCCGCCGCGGCGACGGCGACGACGGGCGCCGGCGCCGGGTCCTCGAAGGTCACGGACTTGGCCTCCGGCTCCGGCTCCGCGAGGTACGCGGCGCCGCGGTCTCCGGGCGCCGGCTCCACGAAGACGGTCTTCGGCGACGGCGCCGTCTCGACGTCGAGGAAGCGCATGGACGCGGAGCGGTACGCGCGGCCCGCCGTCCGCGCGGCCGCGTCCTTGGCGCGCTTGACGCCGTAGACGACGTTGCGGACCTTGAAGGCAGCGACGGCGGCGACGACGAGGGACACCGCGACGAGCCAGGCGATGATGACGACCTTGCAGCCGGGCACGTACTCGTTCGCCGCGGTGAACAGCGCCTCGATGGACGGCGGGAGCTTGACGCCGATGATGAACAGACTCGCGATCGTGCTGCTCTGCTTGATGACCGTCGACCGCACGGCCGGGTGCATGAACAAGATCGTCCCGGCGACGGCGATGGCCTGGGCGTGGTAGACCGGCGGCTCGAAGTGGGTCCGCTTCTTGAGGTCCGCGAGGGCCGACTCGCTCCATTCGTCGCCGCCCTTTTCGGCGTGCGCGCGGTTGTGCTCCTCGTCCTCGTCGCGCTCGTCGTCGTGGCGCGCCTCGTCGGCCGCGAAGGCCCGCGCGGCCTCTAAGATGAGCGCCTTCTCGACGTCCGCCGGCGTCTTGAGGGCGCCCCCGCCGCGGAGCTCGAGCAGCTTGGCGAGCGACCGGGGCCGCCCCGGCGGCGCGGGCAGCTCCTCGCTCGCGAGGTCCACGTGCGCCGCCACGGCATCTAGACTCCGCGGCGGCCGGGCGCCGCAGGCGTCGAAGGCCGCGATGGCCGGCGCGGCCAATAACTCCGAGGGCTTGACGAAGAGCTGCTGCCGGAGCGGCATCGCGTCGGCGCGCGTCGGGTCGTCCATCCACCGCAGCCGGTCGTAGATCGCCGCCGGCACGGCGACGCGGATGACGAAGTGCGTGATAGGCTCGACGACGAAGAGCGCCATGAAGATCGTGAACAGCGTCGAGAAGTACCAGCCGCGCGTCATCTTGTGCCCGACCGACGACGCGAAGACGGCGAGGAACAGCAGCGGCCCCGCGAAGGCGACGAGGCAGAGCACGGACGCGATGGCCTTGGCTCGCTTCGACACGGGCTTGACGACCTTGCGCTTTGCCGGCGGCGTGAAGAAGCCGTCGGCCTGGAGCTGGCTCTCGTAGATCTTGAGCTCCGTGCCCTTGAACCAGCGGCGGCGCATGAGCGCCAACACGATGAGCGCGCGCGCCTCGGCGCTGTCGCCGCGGTGGCGCATGCGCTCGCTGTAGGCCGTCGCGACCTCCAGGGCGTCGACGAGCTTCTCGTAGGCGTGGCGCGCGAACGTGCGGCGGAAGTTCCGCGGGCGCGTCTTCCGCGGCAGGTCCAGCGCCTGGACGCGCCAGGTCGACTCCAACGTCGCCTTGAGGCGCATGAGGTCGCGGAACTGGGCGCTCCCGGGCTCCGCGGCGTCGATGGCGTCCTCGAGCTCGCCGTGCTGCTTGAGCACGCCGCGCATGACCGCGCCGAGCGCGCGGAGCGCGTAGTATTTCGCCGTCGGCAGCTCGTCCCAGGCCAGGGCCGGGCCGTCGACGCCGACGTTGCGCCAGAGCGCGCGGCCGACGGCGTGCGCCGCGGCCTCCGCGTCCGGCGCGTCCATGAGCGGGCAGACCGCGGCCGGTGCGCCCCGCCGCGGCGCGAGGGGCCGGCCGTCGAGGCCCAGGCGCACGGGCGAGGGCGCCGCGGCGCCGTCCGGCGCCGGCGGCGCGCCGCCGTCCGGCGCGGGCGGCGCGCCGCCGGCCGGCGGGCCTCGCGCGAGGCGCAGCGAGTCGCGCGCCTTGAGGAACCCCCGCTCCTTCTTCAGCGGCGCGCAGACGTACGTCACGAACGTCGCGTCGAAGAGCTCCGAGAAGGGCACGGAGATCAGCACGCCCAGGAAGATGAGCAGGAGCCGCTTGAAGCCCACGTCCTGCGGCTCCGGCGGCTGCAGCTGGCACTGCCGCGTCGTGCCCTCGGGCAGCACGCTGTTCAGGGGCGACCCGTACCAGGTGCAGGCGTCGCGCACGGGCTCCGCGTCGAGCAGGAACGCGACCATGTCCGCGAAGCCCGTCTTCTTCGCGAGGCAGTTGCGCATCGCCCGCTCCCCGCCGGCGAGCGACCCGTCGGGGTTCATGACGTCGTCGCAGAAGCCCACGGGGAACGCGTACCAGAAGGCGACGGCCTGGCCGAGCATGAGCGTGAGCAGCTGGAAGAGGATGGTCACGGACCGCCGCGGCCGCGACGCGTTCGCGTCGTAGACGCCGATGACCTTGAGCCACGAGTGGTGCTTCACGAAGACGCGCGCCGTGTGACGCAGGGGGCGCGCGAGGTTTGTGACCAATTTCGGCAGGGACCGGGCGATGAGGTCGTCGAGCGTCGGCGCCGGCGCGGCCGCGGCGGCCGCGACGCGCTTCGCGGCGCGCGCGGCGTCGCGCTTGTCCAGGAAGTAGCCGACCAGGGCCACGCAGCCGCAGATGCCGGCCAGCGTCGCCATGGTCCAGTACAGCAAAGGCGACGCCAGCAAGTCGCGGCCGTTCAGCCCCGCAAAGGCCGACGCGTACGTGCCGAAGACGGAGTTCGAGGTGGCGGAATAGTCCAGAGGCTCGTCGCTCACGTCGCAGTCGCAGAGCGTCGTCCCGTTGCCCAGATCCTCCACGGTGCAGCCGCCGTGGTCCCAGGTCCCGTTGCGCCAGGACGCGCAGCCCGGGTCCACGCGGTCCACGGCCGCGCAATCGAACGCGACGACCTTCGCCTCCCGTAAACCCGTCGGCGGGCACGCGACCGTGAGCTCGCGGCCGTCGCCGCAGACGTAGGACACGTTGCCGCCGCCGCCGGGCGGGCACTGGACGTAGGCCGTCGCGTTGGCGCTCGTCGACAGGCGGCGCCGCGACGCGGCGGCGCTTTGCCGCGTGAACGACAGCGTCGCGCGATTATTGGAGGAGCTCGAGCCGGAGACGCCGAAGCGCACGACCTTGGAGTCGACGTCCTCGTCGCCGCCCTCGGCGCCGGCGTGCTGGTTCGCGTCGAACTCCGTGATCGTCACGTCGCCGTCGACGTCGCCGCCGAGCGCCACGGCCGTGTCCGAGCCGGGCGGCGCGATGATGTTGTCGCCGTCGCCCGCCTCCAACCTTTTAGCTGCGAGTCGTAGTCCGCCCGACGTCACCTCCGTCGCCGCCTCGCCGGCGACGGCGCCGACGAGCAGCGAGGAACCCATGCCGTCGACGGACGCGCCCAAAAGCCCCGCCGCGTCCGTCGCGTTCGCTTCCGTAGAGTTGTCATACGGTTGAAAGAGCTCCGAGTCCAGCAGCCCCGAGAGCGCGTCGGCGAGGCCCGCGGCGGCGACGGACGTCATGGCCTCGGCGCCGTCGTTCAGCGGCGCGAGCGCCGCCGCGGATTCGAGCGCGGACGACGCCGCGGACGACGCGAGCGCGCTCCCGTTGCCCGACGCCGCCGCGAGCGCGCTCGCGACCTGCTCGACGGCGGCGGCGTCGGCGTCCAGCGCGCCGACGACGTCCGCTAACGAGTCCACGAGCGTCGCGGCGACGCCCGGGTCGCCGCTCGCGGCGCCCGCCGCGGCCACCACCGTCTGGCACACGGCCTCGGAGTCGCCGTTCGCCAGCGCCGCGTCCAGTAGGTCGTTGGTCAGATTCGCGAGCGCGTCGCTGCTCAACGCCACGGCGCCGACCTCGACGGACGCCAGGGCCTCGCCCCGGCCGCCTAAGACGTCCGTCGCGATGGCGACGATCGTCACGTTCGGGTCGCCCCGTGGCAAAATCACCCCGGCGAGCGACGCGTCGCGCGTCGCGGCCCGCAGCGTCGAGACGCTCGCGTTCGCCGAGTCGCCGACGAACGCCTTGAAGGCGTAGGCCAGCGGCGGGTCGTCGGACGTCCAGGACGACGTCGTCAGCGAGAAGGCCGTCTCGAGCGCGCGGCCGCGGCCCGGGCTCGCCGTGATTTTGCCCGACTTGGGCGGCGTCGCGGCCACAAAGGTCACGGCGGCGGCGCCCACCGCGCCGCCCGTCGACGCCTCGAGGCGGAGCGTGTACGTCGCGCCGGGCACGAGCGCGCCGGCCGCCAGGACCAGATCGTGGCCGCGCGTCGTCAAGGTCGTGCTCTTGGTCACGGCCGTCCGCGCCCACGTCTCCAGGCCGTAGCCGCCGATCAACGCGCCGGAGTCGAGGACCCAGGTCGAGTTGAAGCCCGTCTCGTTCGCGAGGGCGTCGTCGTCGCCGAGGCTCGACGGCGACGCGGCGCCGTACAACACCACGCGCGCGGCCGCGGCGACTCGCCCGCTTCCCAGACTCGCGCCGTCGATGGCGACGGCGGGCGGGTCGTCGTCGACGATCGTATGGGTGACCGTCGCCGCGGCCTCGCGGCCGTCGGCCGTCGACACGACGACCGTGAACGCGAAGCTCCCGACGCCGAGATCGTCGCCGTCGACCTCGAGCGTCTCCAGGGCCCGCCCCAGCCCCAGGGTCGCGTCGCAGTCCCCGTCGCAGGTCCAGGAATACGCCAACTCCGCGTCCGCGTCGTCGGGGTCGTACGACGTCGACGCGTCGAGCTCCAAGACGCCGGCGAGAGGCACGACGCGGTCGCCGCCGTCGACGGCGCCGACGAGGTTGCTGCGGCCCACCTCGATCGTGATGGCGGACGTCACGGACGCGCCGCTCGACGCGTCGACGGCCGTGACCGCGAGCTCGTAGGACGTCGCGCTGTCCAGGGCGTTGGCGGCGAGCTTGAAGTAGCGCGCGTCTTTCGAGGTCGAAACGAAACCCGTGGCTTCCAGACTCCCGTCGTCCGCCACCTTCGAGAGGTTGTAGGAGAGTGTGACGCTGCGGTCCTTGAGGGACCGCCCGTCGCACCCGGAGGCCACGGCGTCGGCCTTCACCGAGAGCGCCGCGGGCGCCAAAGCGGCCTGGACGGCCCCGCCGGCGATCTGCAGAGACGGCGGGTTGTCGTCGCGGACGTCGACGACGAAGGGCGTGGAGGAGTCGCTGACGCCGCCGAGGAAGTTGGTGACCGTCAGCTCGAAGGAGACGGCGTCGACGCCCGCCGTGGCGAGGTCCGCGAGATCGCTCACGGGAATCGCGAGCGTCGCGCCCGCCGCGGCGGCGTACGCGCTCAACGTCGCGGCCGCCGTCGCGTCGGACGACGACGCCCAGGTCGGCGTCGCGGTCCAGGCGTAGGACAGATCCCGGCCGCCGCCGCCCGTCGACGGCGCGGACCCGACGCGCAAGCCCTCGCAGACCGAGGCCGTCGTCGGGCCTTCGAGGAGCGCGACGGGGACCAGCGGCGGCACGGGCGACGCCGCCGTCGTCGACGACGTCGTCGCCGTGTCGCAGTCGCAGCGGAAGCCGTCGCAGGCTCGGAGCACGACGTCGAGGACGGCGACCGCGTCTCCCGGTACGATCGCCGCGTCGGCGACACCAGCACTGAGCGTTCGGGCGTCGACCCAGTAGCACTCGGCATCGTCGGCGCCGTCGAAGTCGAGGATCGAGGCGCAGGCGAACAGCTCGCTGACGTCGTAGCCGCCGAGGTCCGTGTCCGCGTCGAAGGCGCACGTCAGCGCGTCGCCCGTCGTCGAAAAGTTGGCGACGAGGATCGACGGCGCGTCGAGCACCAAACCTTCGTCCCGCAGCTCGGCGCAGGGCGTCACCGTCGGCACCGCCGACGGTGCGGGCGTCGAGGGCGACGGCGTCGGGAAGATGGACGGGGTCCCCGTCGGGCCGAGCGTGCCCGACACGGTCGTGTCGGAGCCCGAGACCGTCTGCGCGTCCACGTAGATCGCCGCGGCGCTCTCGTCCAACCGCCGGCGCGACCCGGCGGCGAGGGCCGCGCGGTCCGCGGCGAAGCTGCCGTCGTCGACCTTGGACGCGACGTAGGCGCCGAGCGTCGCGGCCGCGTCGTGGACGGAGCCGACGTCGGCGCCGTGCGAGAAGACCGCGGACGCGAAGCACTCGAGCTCGATGGTGAAGACGTTCGCGACGCTGCCCGAGGACGCGGCGTCGCCCGCGGCGCAGGACACGGTCACGTCTTTGACGGGGCTCGACGCCTCGCCGTGGTCCGCCGCGGCCTCCTCGATGTAGTTCTGCAGGATCGCGCCGTCGATGGCGTCGACGCCCGCGGAAACGTAGGCGTCGCAGGACTCGTCCGCCGTCGCGTAGGCCGACGTCTCCGCGTCGAGCGCCACGGAGAAAAACACCGTGTCGCGCGTCGGCGCCGTCGACGGGTAGGGCGTCGGGTTCGGCGTCGTCGGCGCGGCCGTCGACGGCGTCGGCGACGGCGGGGCCGTGGGCAGGGACGACGGCGACGCCGTCGTCGGCGACACGGAGGGCTCGGGCGTCGGCGCGGGCGTCGGCGCCGTCGACGGCTCGGGCGTCGGGTTGGGCGACGGCGCCGGCGTCGGCCGGGGGCTCGGGATGCCCGTCGGCAGCGCCGTCGGCGCGGCCGTCGGCGCCGCGGAGGGCGCCGCCGACGGCGCGGGCGTGCTCGAGGGCACCGGCGACGGCCGGCTCGTCGGGACGCCCGTCGGCCGCGACGTCGTCGGCGCCGCGGTCGACGGCGGCAGCGTGGGCACGGGCGACGGCGCGGTCGAAGGGACGGACGTGGGCACGGACGTCGGCACGCCGGTCGGCGCGGGCGTGTAGGACACCTGGAAGTCGATGGCGTCGGAGATCGTGGCGTCGTCCGCGCACGCGATCGTCATCGTGTACGCGTTGACCTCCGCGTCGCCGGAGACGGTCTTTTCCTGCGAGCCGTCGTTGTCCGTCGTTTCCGATCCGACGACGGCGCCGTCGCTCGTCGTCGCCACCGAGACGGTCACCGTCGTGCACGCGTCCGAGGCGCCGCGGTACGTCCAGTCGACCCGGCACGGGACGAGGGAGACGCAGGTCGACAGCGTGCCGATGCTCGTGATGTCGATGAACGACGCCGTGGGCGCGAAGGACGGCTCGGCCGTCGTCGGCTTAGGCGTCGGCGCGGCCGTCGTCGGCCTCGGCGTCGGCGCGGCCGTCGTCGGCGTCGGCGTCGGCTTCGGCGTCGGCTGAAACGTCGGCCTCGGCGTCGGCCTCAACGACGGCGCGTACGTCTCGACGTCGCACTTGCTCGCCATGACCCCGAACTCCCCGACCGACACGTAGGCCTGCTCGACGCCCTGGGCGAAGAAGAGCCGCAGGCTCCGCGCCGTGACGTGCGGGTCGAGGTCGAAGCAGCCGTCGTCGAGCTCGTCCGCCTCGCCGTCGAAGTTCTTGTAGGACGAGCCCTCGGTCCAGGACTGGTCGTTGGCCGGGGCCGTGACCTCGGAGGTCGCGTAGTCGACGCGGACGTTCGTGGCCGCGTAGTAGGTGGTAGAGAACTTGCCCCAGAGGAGGCAGACGCCCGTGAGCTCGTAGGTCGCGCCGAGGTCGTACGCGACCCACTGGTCCGTCGTACTGTAGGCCGAGGACCACCAGCCCTCGTTGCTGGCGACGATGCCGTCCAGCGTCTCGGCGCATTCGCTGGTGGCGTCGTAGACCGACGACGTGCCGAGGCACGTCAGGTCCTCCTCGCTCCTGAGGCCGTCGGTACACGGCGTCGGCGCGGGCGAGTACGTGGGCCGCGGCGACGGCCGCGGCGTCGGCTGCGGCGTCGGCCGCAGCGTCGGCGTCGGCGTCGGGTCGGGGAACGTCGGCCGCGGCGACGGCCGCGGGATTGGCGACAACGTCGGCCGCGGCGTGGGGTCCGGCTGCGCGACGGGCGTCGGCGTCGGCCGCGGCGTCGGATCGGGGTCCGAGTTACCTTCTTCGCTCTCTGCCTCTTCGTAGCCGCTGTAGAGCTCCTTGACGTTGCTCAGCGACAGCGCGCTCGACCAGATGCTGAGCTCGTCCATGGTGCCGGAGAAAAAGTGCTTGTAGCTCCCGTCCTCGGAGCGCCTGCCGACCTGGAACGCGTTCGCGCTGCCGGTGTTCAGCACGACGGTCTGCGTCTTCACCAGCGCCCCGTCGACGTAGAGGCGCCAGTCGACCATGTCGTACGTGTTGCAGTAGTGGTGCCACTCGCCGTCGTCGGTGCCGGACACGGTGACGTCGAAGTCGTAGGCGTCGCCATAGCCGAGCAGCGCGAACTCGCCCGCCGCCGTCCCCGTGCTGAAGCCGAACCGCATCCCGTCCAGGTTCGAGTCGTACGAAAAGAGCGTGCCGCCGTCGAAGTCGGCGATCTTGGCCCACAGGCACACGGTGCGCGCGGCGCTCCCGATGAGGGTCATCGTCAGGCTCGACGGCATCGAGACGTAGTCGTCCGTCCCGTCGAAGGTCAGCGCGACGCTCCCGTCGCGGCCATTCGCGAACGTCGCGCCGCCGATCGTCCCGTCGTAGTCGTTGACGTCGTCGTGGTCGTCCGCGGCATCCTGGTCGTTGAAGCCGTAGTGGGCGACGAGCGTGGAGTCGTCCAGCGCGTCGCTCGTCGTCGTCCCCTCATCCCCGGTGTCCTGCGCGACGGGCGCGGGCGTCGGCCGCGGCGTCGGCGCGAAGCTCGGCCGCGGCGTCGGCGCGAAGCTCGGCCGCGGCGTGGGGTCCGGGTCATGGCCATGGTCCTCATCCCCAGTGTCAGCGGCCGTGGTGTCCTCCGTCTCATCCCCAGTGTCAGCGGCCGTGGTGTCCTCCGTCTCATCCCCAGTGTCCTCGGTGTCCGTATACGTCTCACCCTCAGTGTCCTCGGTGTCCTCCGTGGTGTCCTCCCCATCCCAATTGTCGAGCTGACGATGATCTACGACACGCTCGCGTACCGCGGCGGCGCGGACTGGATCCCGTCGACCGTCGGCGAGTCCCCCGAAAGCTCCTGCCGCCAGGCGCAGCGCGCCCAGCGCGAGGGCCAGGACCCGCATCGCCTCCTCAGGCGGTCAGGGCTGGGCAGCAGCGCGGCCCCATAATGCACCAACACTAGAAACAAACAAGCCGGCCTACGGCCGGCAAGCTCGCTTCGCGAGCTATCGGCCACTCGTTTAATTGAGGTTGCTCGCTACGCTCGCTTTAAACCACTCATTGAAAGTTTTATGTTGCTGCTCGGACGCACGCACCGCGACACACTGCAAAATAGAATATAAATATCTGAAACCAAAACATTGACTCCGACATTGCAGCTTCGGGCAGCCTCGTTGTTGGTCCTTCACGTGCTTCGGCCCCGTCGTCAGCCATGCGGTGGGTCGTCGCCGCCTGCGCTTTCGCATTGGCGTCGTCCCAGAACGTGCTCGTCGTCTACACGGGCGACTCCGCCGATTCGACGCTCAGCGTCGCGCAAGCCTTCGCGGCGGGCGCCTCCCGCGCCGGCGCGTCGACGAAGCTCGTCCTGGCCTCCGAGGCGGCCTACGACGACGTGCGGGACTGGGCGGACGTCGTCGCGCTGGGGAGCGGCGTCATCAACGGGAACGCGGACCCGACGCTCCTCGAGTTCCTCCGCTACTGGTCCTTTTCGGACGACCTCAGCGGACAGGTCGGCGCGAGCTTCGCGACGGGCGGCGGCGCGGCCGCGGGGCTCCAGCCCGTCGTCGAGGAGCTCAACCGGGCGCTGTTGACCTTCCGCCTCGTGGTCGTCGGCGGCGACGACTGGCGCGCGTCCGAGGGCGCCGCGGGCGTCGTCGGCGGCCGCGGGTGGAACGGAACCTTGGAACGCGCGGGCGGCCAGGGCTTCCGCGCGGCGACCGTCGCCGCGGCGCTCGCCCGGGGCCGGACGCCGGATAAGCCGGCGAACGGCAGCGCCGCGCCGCCGAGCTTCGGCGACGCCTGGGCCGGCGCCGTGTCCGCGAACATGACGTCGGCGGGCTACGACGCGGGCCTCGTCATCGTCAACTTCACGTCGGCCTGCGGCGACCCGGCGCAGCAGAAGATGAAGACCGTCTACGGCGACTTTTATACGGTGCTGACGCGCTGCGACCTCGGCCTCGAGTTCACGATCGCGCCCGCGAGCCGCGGCGGCGACTGCGCGTCGCGGAAGATCGGCGTCGACGTCGACGCGCGCATCTGCAGCGCCTGCGGCTGCCCCTTCTGCGTCCGCGACACGAACGGCTCCTACGCCCACCCGGACGCCAGCGCGGGCCTCGCCGACGTGCTCTGGGACGCGCCGCGGGCCTTTTCGCGCGAGGGCAGGCGCTTCACGGCGCACGCGGGCGTCGCCGTCGCCGTCGGCGGCAGCGACGACTACAGCCTCAAGTACGACCTCGCCTTCGACGACGACGGCCACCCGGCCTTCGTCAACATCTCCCACCCGCTCTGGATCTCCACGGCCGCGCGCGTCGACGGCTTCACGCGCGACGTCGCCGGCGACGCGTTCGACATCCCCCGCGGCTGCTTCAAGTAGTGGCCGGGGTTCGCTTTTTTTTCGCTTTTCGTTTTGTTAATTATTCCCTCGCAAGTTCTTCCGGGGAGGAGCTGTGTCACCGCGCCCCCGCCCGCGAGTCCCACCAGTCCAGGTCCGTCGCCGGCGGCGCGCCGCCGTCCACGAGGACGCCGTCGTCGACGGGCCGGCCCGCGCGGACGAAGCCCGTCCACCGGCGGCGGTGCGCGACGCGGCAGGAGTCGCCGTGGTCCACGTGGACGACGCCGCCGAAGCACGACGGCTTGTGGAGGCTCACGGCGTCGAGCCGCGCCGGGTCGACGGCGCACTTGCGGTTCCGCTGGCGCGCGACGGGCACCCGCCGGAGGTGTGGCGTCGGCGCCGAGTCGTTGAAGAGCACGCGCGGGAAGCAGACGCAGGGCCGCGGCTTCTTCCGGAACCAGGGCCGCGCGTTGATCGCGGCGACGGCCGCCCCGACGGACCGCGTCTGCGGGTCGGCGAAGGCGTCGCAGGAGAGGAACTCGTCGAGGTCGAGGTTCAGGAGGAGGAGCGCGTCCGCGGAGAACGCGAACGCGCAGTACTGGAGCGCGAGCTGGAGCCCCGCGAGCGTCCGGCCCCGCGAGGGCCGGCCGCCCGCCGTGCCCAGCGCGTCCTGGAAGGAGAAGTTGCCCACGTGCACGTCGGCGGGCGCGGGGCCGAGCGCGCGCGTCGGATCCCAGACGACGAAGCGGTCGACGCCGACGGCGCGATGGTACGCCGCGTACTCGCGAAAATGCTCCGCCGCGCGCGCGCCGTAGACGGGGCTGAGGCAGGCCGTCGCCTTCGCGGCGGGGAACGACGGCGGCGTCGCCAGCGGCAGCTCCGCGGCGCCGCCGCCGGCGGAGACGCGGATGTGTGACGTTTGTTGCGGGCAGCGTACGACGCGCGCGGCGACGTCGTAGACGGAGGTGGTGCTGCTCAGGCGGGTCTGTGGTGTTACTGGTAGAAAGTCGCAACAATACGTGATGTTCTTCAGCAGCTCGCGGCGCGTCCGCACGGCGACGAGGGCTTCGACGGTAGTATCTTTCGCGCTGCGCGTTCCCATGAGCACGACGCGACCCCAGCTCGTTGTGCGTGCGAGTGGCTGCGGGATTTCGACGCATTGAGCGGCGTGGAGCATTGCGATTGCTGCGAGCAGCAGCGGTGCACGCATGGTGCTTTCATGAGCACATAAGGCAGCCCACAAGCTCTGCGGATCTTTCTGTCCGAGAGATCTTTTGTCCGTCCTGGAACCGACGTTGGCTATGTGTTGAGCCAAGCCTTAAGTCCCGCCACACGTCTTCGCCTCCCGGCGCCGGTCCGCAGCCGCCGCCGACGCCGTCGCGCTCTCGTCGCGCTCCCAGCCCGCGGCGCGCGCGCACTCGTCGCAGCCGCCGCCGACGCCGTCGCGCTCCCGTCGCGCTCCCGGCCGGCGGCGCGCGCACACCACACCACACCACAGCACACCTTTACACCATGTCTTCGCGCCAGTCCTGGCTCGGCGCCCTGCCCGGCGCGAAGAAGGTCTACGGCGGCAACGCGGGGAAGAAGAAGCAACCCGCGGCGAAGGCGCGCGCGCCGCTCCGCACGCTGCAAACCAATGCCCTCGCGACGGTCGACGAGGACGCGTGGCTCGCGCCGTCGCGCAAGAACGCCTGCGCGACGCCGGAAGAAAAAGCCCCGAAGCCGCGCGCGCGCACCACGACCACGATGGCCGCGCGGGAGTCGTCGGCGCTCTTCGTCGACTCGTCGTCGGACGAGGAGCCGGAAGCGAAGAGCAAGGGCAAGGGCCTGGAGGGCGCGGTCGCGGCGGGCGCCGACGAGGACGTCGCCTGGCTCCGCGAGGCGCTCGGGGCCGAGGGGTTCGTGAGCTTCGGCAAGCGGACGGTGCGCGTGCCGAGGAGCTGGCGGCGGTCGCGGCGGTCGCGCGTCATCGGCTGGTGCGAGGACCTGGGGTTCCGCTGCGTGGCGACGGCGGAGTCGACGATCCTGGAGATGAGCAGCCGCGCCGTCGGCGAGCTGCGGGAGAAGCTCGCGGCGCGCGGCGGCGACGCGCCGGAGCCGGCGGAATCGCCCGCGCCGCCGCTCGAGGTCGTCGAGGCGCCGCGCGCGGCGGCGCGGCCGCCGCCCCCGGTCGTCGAACGCGACACGACCATCGACCTCACGGCGCTCCTCGACAGCATGCGCTTCAAGGCGCCGCCGCCGCCGCCGGACGACGCGGCGCCGCCGCCGCCGGCGGACGACGACGCCGACGAGGCCGCGGACGCGTTCGACGCGTCGGCGCGCGGCGCGCCGTCCTTCGGCGACTCCCGGCGGTCGACGACGCACGGCGAGGCCGCGCGGCTCAAGCTCGCGCGGCGCCGGTCCATGGCGCAGCACGGCCTCCTCCGGCGCCAGAGCTCCGTCGGCGGCGGCGGCGGCGCGTTCGGCCGCGCGAGCGGCTCCCTCGCGGCGGCCTTCGGCCGCACGAGCGCGTCGCGCGCCAGCGGCTCCCTCGCGCCGGCGCGCGGGTCCCTCGCGCCGGGCCGCGGGTCCGTCGCGCTCTGGGGCGTCGCCGAGGACGCCGTCGCCGTCGAGACCGCGAAGCGCGGCGAGGCGGCCGCGGCGCGCGTCGCGCCCCGCTTCCGCGGCGACGCGCGGCGCGACGTCGTCGGCGCGTGGCTCACGGGCGAGGCGCGGCGCGGCCGCTGCGTCGTCGAGGCGGGCGCGGCCGCGCGCGGCGGCGCGTGCGTCGTCGACGTCGTGCCGTCGGCGCGCGGCGGGCTCCGCGCGGTCAAGGTCGCCCTGGCGCGGGACGGCGCCCGGGGCGTCGCCGTCGTCGAGACGGAGGCGCTCGGCACGGCCGCCGCGCTCGCGGCCGCGGCCGCGGCCGCGTGGCCCGCGGGCCTCGTCGTCCGGGGCCGCGACGACGACTACTTCCTGCCCGCGGCGCTCGTCGGCGCGCGGCTGCCGGCGCTCGCGACGCTCGCGGCGAGCGCGACGCGGCTCCTGCCCGGCGACGCGTGGCGCCGCGTGCTCGCGTTCGCGGGCGACCACCGCGGCGCGGCGGCGGCGTGCCGCGACGCCGCGCGCGCGGCCGAGGCCGCCGCGGCGGCCGCCGCGGGCCGCCTCGCCCTCGGGGGGGCGGGCGGGACGACGCGGACCTGGGCGTCCGTCGCGGCGGCCATGCCCGCGGGCCGGTTCCTCAGCGAGGGCGCGTTCAAGCGCGTCTTCGCCGTCGGCGACGAGGCCGTGGGCGTCGCGGACCTCGCGCTCCTCGGCGGCGACGCGGGCGCGGCCGCCGAGGCGGCGAAGGAGCTCGAGATCTCGACGCGCCTCGCCCAGCTCCTCGACCGCGGCTGCTGCCCGAACTTTGTGGCCGCGCGCGGCGCGTTCGCGTGCGACGCGCCGCCCGGCGCCGCGTGGGGCGGCGCCGCGGCCAAGGGCAACCGCAAGAAGAAGGGCGCCAGATGGCTCTACGCGCGCATGGAGCTCTGCGGCCACGGCGACGTCGAGGGCTGGCTCCGGAGCCTGCCGGGCGGCGCGCTGCCCGACGGCGCGACGCTCGCGCTCTTCTTCCAGATGTGCTTCTCGCTCTACGCGTCGCGCGCGGCGCTGGGCCTGCGCCACTACGACGTCAAGCTCCTCAACTTCCTCGCGGCGCCCGTGGCGGCGGCCACCGTCGCGCGCTACGCCGTCGGGCCCGCGGCGTTCGACCTCCGGCTCGACCCCGCTCTGTGCGGCGCGTGGGCGAAGCTCGCGGACTTTGGGACGAGCCGCTGCGACGCCGCGAGCCTCGGGGCCCACGCCGACGGGAGCCTGCTGACGACGGTGGAGAACGCGCCCGCGGATCTGCTCGTCGCGGGCGACGCCGCGGACTTCCACGGCTTCGCGCACGACACGTTCTCGCTCGGGCTCGCCGCGGTGCACCTCTTCGGCGGGTGCGCGCCCTACGAGGAGCTCATGGCGGACTGCACCTGCCCGGCGCCCCTGCGCGGCGCCCTGGCCAAGCTCTGGCTCGCGGACGGCGGCGGCTTCGGCGCCGTCGCGCGGACCTGTAGGACCGTCTACGACGACGACGGCGCGGGGAACCCCGGCGACGCGTCGTCCGACGACGATGGCGTCGGCGAGCCCTACGACCGCACGCTCTTCGACACGCTCTACCGCTTCTTCGTGCTCCTCGGCGTGCCCGAGGCGGACGCGCTCGGCCCCGCGGGCGCAACCGGTGCTCGCGGCCGCGCGCGACCACCTCCTCGGCGACGCGCCCGCGGGCGCGAAGAAGAAGAAGAAGGCCGCGACCAAGGCCGCGCGCCGCGCCGACCAGCGGCGCGCCAGGGTGCGCAAGCGCTTCGCCGACGACGCCGCGCGCTTCGATTTCGAAACCGGCGACGCGCCGGCGATCGCGCGCTGCCGGGCGCGCTTCGGCGAGAACCTGCCCCTGCTCAAGGCCATGCTCGCCTTCGACGCGGCCCGGCGGCCGACGATGCGGGCCCTCCTCCTGTCGCCCCTCTTCGCGCCGCTCCGCGCGACGGGCGAGCTCCGCGCGGACGCGGTCTTCGCGACCTTCGCGCGCCGCGACGACGCCGCGCCGATCCCCGACGTTTAAGAAATCGCGGGGAGTTCTCTTAGCTCGCGCGGTCGACGACGATGCCCCCCGTGGACGTGATCAGCTTCGCGGCGAGGAGCGCGAAGGCGGCGCAGGGGACCCAGGCCCGCAGCGCCGCGGCGACGGCCGCGGCGGCGCCGAAGCCGCCGGCGAGCGCGGACCGGGGCGTGGGCTTGCGCGCGACGACGGCCTTCCAGTCGCCGGCCGTCGCGTCCTCCGCGTCGCAGGCCTTGAAGACGAAGACCGTGCCGGACGAGCCGCCGCGCGACACGCGGATCTGATCATCCAAATACGTCGTGTCGAGGCGCACCTCCGACGTCGGGCCCAGGTCCAGCGTCAGCGGGCCGAAGGCGACGCGCGGGCTCCGGAAGGCCGCGCGGATCGTGTTCTCGGAAAGCGTGCGATTCCACCGCGCGCCGAGCGCCTCCCGGTCGGCCTCGGGCTCGACCGCGCCCCGGAGCACGACGGAGCCCGGCAGCAGGCCGAGGAGCCGGAACTTGATGAAGTTGATCGCGAGGTTGCCGGTGCTGTGGTAGAGCACGTGCTGGTACATGGCCGTCGTGCGGAAGAGCAGCCGGCCGACGCGGCCGCGGAACCGGCCGCCGGCCGCGTTCGCCTTCTTGCTCGAGCGCTGGCCGACGTAGGCGACCTCGCACTCGCGGTAGAGCCACTCGGGCGAGTCCGCCGCGACGGTGCCCTCGTAGGAGCGCTCGAGCCGCGCGACGAGGCCGTCGACGATCTGCCGTTGCTCCGCCGACGCCTTGACGCCGCGGTCCGTCGACTGCACGGCGTTTAGTAGTTCGTTGACGTAGCGCGACGTGCGCGCCGTCGGCGCGGTCAACGCTGCGGCGCTGGCGAGGAGGGAGAGGAGCAGTGGCATCCGAAACGGCGGCGTTTTGGCGCCCATCGAGTTCTCAGCTGTTGACCTCAACTACAGCATCAACCGCTTCAACATCAAGGGCTGCCGGCCATCTCAGCCCGCCGCGCGCCGCCATGGTGGCCGGCCGCTGCGCCGCGCGGCGCGTGCTCGCGCTCGCCGCATTATTGTCAGCGACCGCGCGGGCTCGCATGGGGTCGCCGTGCATGAAAAACACGCCGGCGTGCAAGCTCAAGGCCGAGGTCGGCCACGTCGCCGACTCGGCCAAGGCCGCCGAGTTCGCGCGGCGCGAGGGCTCCGCGGCGTTCGAGGCGACGCGCGCGGCCACCGTGGAGCGCGTCATCGCCGGGCGCGAGGCGTCCCTCGCGGCGCGCATCGCGGCGTCGACGGCCCGCGCGCGCGGCGCGATCGCCGCGGCGGCGGCGGCGGCGCGCGACCGGTCGCCGCGGCGCGACGGCGACGCGCGCGGCCGCGGCGGCGACGCGCCCGGCCTGCCGCACGCCATGGAGCTCATGTTCGCCGCCGTCGACGCCCAGCGGCACACCTGGGCCGCCCAGCGCGAGGCCTACCTGGCCGTCGCGACGTCCGAGCGCGAAGGCCGGCGGGAGTTCAAGGCCACGGGCGACGACTACGGCGCCGCGGCGCGCGCGCCCGAGGCCCGCGTGCTCCAGCGCGTCGCCGACGTGCTCCGGGACGCGGCGGCGGCCGGCGCCGCCGCGGAGCGGCGCGCGCGCGCGACGCAGAACCTCACGGCGGCCAAGGAGGCCGCGGGCGCGGCGGCGCTCTCGGAGGTCGCGGCGGCGGGCGCGGCCTACGAGGCGCGGCGCTCCGGCGCGCGGGCCGCGGCGTCGGCGGCGGCCGCCCGGGCCGCGAGCCGCGCGGCGCTGGCGGCCGCGCGCGCGGACGCGCGCGCCGTCGTCGACGAGGTCGGCGCCGCGCGCGCGGCCGCGGCGCGCTCCTACGACCGCGCGAAAACCGCGGCCGCGCGGAGCGGCGCCTGCGCCGCGGCGAACCGCAACGTCACGCAGCGCTACGGCGCCTGCCGCGCGGCGGACCCGCCCTCCGACAAACGGCGGCGGCTCCAGGACAACGTCTTCTCGGCGTCCGAGTTCCTCGACTACGACCGCGGCGGCTTCGTCGCGGCGACCTTCGACGCGTCCGTCTTCGCGCTGCCCGGCGCGCGCCTCCTGGAGCACTGGGACCTGCGCCACGTCGGCGTCTTCAACCCGTCGGTCGTCGCGCTGCCCGCGGCTCTCCGGGACACGCTGCGGCGGTCCGTCTACCCGGACGCGTACTACGTCGCGACGGTGCGCCACAGCTGGGAGCAGTGCTTCCGCTTCGACATCGGCCACGCGAAATGGGCGACGGTGGGGCCGGACCGGTCCGACGCGGAGCGGCCGGGCCGCCACACGTCCGTCGTCCTCCTCGACCGCGACCTCTGCGCGCTCGGCCTCGCGGCGCAGCGCTTCCCGGACCCCTGGGACGCGCGGCGCGGCGACGTCGGCTGGCTCGCCGAGGACGTGCGCCTCTTCGCCCACAACGCGCAGTCGCCCCTGGACAGCCGGTTGATCGCGACGGCCGTCGTCGTCCACGACAAGTCGTTCTCCGACTACGACCAGGAGCACTTCAACCAGAGCTTCGGCGTCTTCGAGCTCGTGCTCGACGTCGACGCGAAGCGGCGGCCGACGGCGCGCTACATCCCCCTGCCGGGCGAGTACTACGGCGCGGCGGCGCGGGGCCACGCGGCCGTCACGGAAGTCCGCAACGTCGGCGTCTTCGACGGCGGCGACGATCTGGACTTCCTGCTCTTCCTCGGCGCCGAGGCCCAGGTCTCGAAACGGCTCTTCCCCATCCCGACGCGCCCGGCCGTGACGCCCCTGACGGGCTACTTTGGCAAGTGGCTCCACAACAACGTGAACCCGTTGTTGTTAAAGCGCCACGGCCTGCTGCTCGCCGTGGGCCACGAGCACAGCAACGAGCGCAACGACGAGGTCCACCGGACGACGTCCTGGCACACCTACCTCCACTACTTTCTGCTCTACAACGCGTCGGCGCCGCACGCGCTCCTCGCGCGGTCGCCGCCCTTTTGCTTCGCGTCGCTCGACGATCCCGCCAGGTGCGACCTCATCCAGTTCGTCTCGTCGCTGTCCTTCGCGCGGCCAAACGACGACGACCGGCGGGGCCGGGGGCACGACCTGCTCCTGGGCTACGGCATCAACGACTGCCGGGGCGCGCTCGTGCGGCTGCCCCTGCGCGCCGTCCTCGACTTCACCGCGTCCTGCGGCCTCGACCCGACGCTCGCGAGCCTCAAGGTCGCCTCGGAGTCGCGGACCGGCCACCGGAGATCTTAATCGTCGTCGCCCCGGTTCGCGGCGTCGGGGTCGACCTCGAAGGTGCCGCTCGCGTCGAAGCCGTCGCTCGACCGCCGCGTCGGGGGCTTCGCGGCGCCGCGGCCGCCCCGGCCCCGGCCGCCGCGGCCGAGCGCGCTCCGGTTCACGCCGCCGGCCGCGCCGAGGCGGCTCATGTGCTTCGTTTTCAACGCGTCGTGCTTCTTCTTCTCTTCGGCCTCTTTCAACACCTTGGCGCGCTGCTCGGGGTCCATGGCCTCGAGGGCCCGGGCCTCCTTGTCGGCCGCGGCCTTCTTCTCGGCCTGCATCTTCGCGAAGTGCGCCGTCTCGCGGCTGCTCGACGAGGAAGACGCGGCGGGCGGCGGCGCGGCCTTGGCGACGGCCTTGGGCACGGGCGGCGGCTTCGGCGCGGCCGGCGGCTTCGCGACCACTGGCGGCCTTGGCGCGGCCGGCGGCTTCGCGACCGCCGGGGGCGGTTTGGGGGTCGCGTCGCCGCCGTCGTCGTCGCCGCCGTCACGGTTCGCGGCGTCGGGGTCGACCTCGAAGGTGCCGCTCGCGTCGAAGCCGTCGCTCGACCGCCGCGTCGGGGGCTTCGCGGCGGCGCCGCGGCCGCCCCGGCCCCGGCCGCCGCGGCCGAGCGCGCTCCGATTCACGCCGCCGGCCGCGCCGAGGCGGCTCATGTGCTTCGTTTTGAGCGCGTCGTGCTTCTTCTTCTCTTCCGCCTCTTTCAGGACCTTGGCGCGCTGCTCGGGGTCCATGGCCTCGAGGGCCCGGGCCTCCTTGTCGGCGGCGGCCTTCTTCTCGGCCTGCATCTTCGCAAAGTGCGCCGTCTCCCGGCTGCTCGACGACGAGGACGACGCGGGCGGCGCGGCCTTGGCGACGGCCCTGGGCACGGGCGGCGGCGCCGCGGCGGGCCTCGGCGACGCCGCGGGCTTCTGCGACGCGGGCGTCCGCGGCGTCCGCGGCGGCGCGTCGTGCAATTTCGCCGGGCTCCGCGGCGTCGCGGGAACCTTGGGCGCCGCGAGGGCCGCCGGGTGGGTCCAGGACGTCTCGCCCGTCTGCTCGTTGAAGTAGTAGGGCTGGCCGTCGAGGAGGCCGCGCGTCCACGCCGGGTAGCCGTCGACGCGGTGCTCCGGGTTCGTCCACGACGTGCGGCCCGTCTTCGCGTGGTGGTAGTAGGTCTGCCCCTCGGGCGTCGCCACGGCCTCCCACTCCGAGATCAGCGCCCGCTCCTGGGCCTCGACGACGACGGGCACGAGCGACGGGTCCTCGCCGCGGACCGCGGGGCTCTTCGGCGTCCGCGGCGTCGCGGCGCGCCGGGGCTCCCGCGGCGACGCGATGGGGTTCGTCGCGCCGAGCTCGACGGCGCCCGCGTCCCCGCCCTTGCGGGGCCGCCGGCAGCGGAACGCGCACGCGGCGCAGCCGACGAGCGCGAGGAGCAGGACGGCGGCCGCGACGGCGCGCGCGTTCGTCGCCGTGAGGCAGAGGAGCGTGACGCAGTCGCCGTCGTCGTCGTCGTCGCCGTAGGAGATCTTCGGCGTCGTCGGCGCGGGCGTCGGCGCGGGCGCGGGCGCGGGCGTCGGCGCGGCGGCGGCGGCGGCGGCGGACGGCGGCGGCGACGGCGGCGCGACGGGAGCGGCCGTCGGCGCGGACGTCGGCGCGGCTGATGGCGTCGTCGGCGCGGGCGTCGGCGCGTCCGTCGCCGCCATGGCGGCGGACGAAAAGGCTTCGATCGTCATCGTGTCTTGCACCTCCCAGTCGTGCGCGCACGGCTCGCCGTCCTCGTAGACCTCGCCAAACTCGCACGCCGCTCTGACGCACGGTTCGAAGAGCGCCGGATCTTCGTTGATACTCTCCCAGTTGCCCATCACGGTCGCGCAGAGGTCCGCGTCGCACGCCATCGCGAAGTGGAACGGCACGGGACAGACGCCGGTGTCGTAGCAGTCCGCGTCGTCGGCGAAGTCGTTTTTCGCGGAGATGTTTGCGATGGCGATGTTCGTGCTCGTGCAGTAGTGGAGCGCGCGGGCGACGACGGCGTCCAGCTCATCGAAGCCGGGTCCGCTGATCGGTACGATGTTCATGGTGAGGGTGCCGGCGATGGTGTCGTCCGATGGCTGCGTCGTTTCCGAGAACGGCGTCGGGGCCCTGCTGGGACCGTCGGTCGCCGCGGCGAGGGCGAGGAGGACCAGGACGACAGCGGAGCCCATGGCGCCGGCGCCGACGGCACGAACAGGCGCTTCTCGAGGCAGCCCGACGGCACGAACAGGCGCTCTCGAGGCAGCCCGAGCGCTTGTCCACGTGTGGCCTCAGAAACCGCTCGTAAAAAAGTTCAAGCTGCTCGTTTTACCCCATGATCGGCGGCCCCGGCGACGGGATCTGGAAGCGGTCGGGGAAGGCCGCGTGTCGTCGCTCCGGGATGGGTCGCACGTGCCGGTCCTTGCCCCGGGGCCCCCGGTCGACGAGGTAGAAGCCGAGGCCGATGCCGAGGGCGAAGAGCAGCAGCGCCGCGCCCGCGAGGCCGATGTTCTCCGAGAAGAGGGACGCGAAGGTCACGGTCGACGCGAAGCCCGAGTGCGCGTAGATGGACGCGAGGGCCGCGTCGACGTGGCCCGAGCCGCGGAACGTGTCGAGGAAGATGAACTTCGTCGAGTTCTCGAAGATGGCGCGGTTGACGCCTTGCAACGCGAAGATCGCGACGAGATTCGACCACTCGGAGATGCGGTCCAGGGACCCGAGCCCCAAGATCAGCGCGCCGAGCGTGCCGTAGGCCAACACCGCCAGCGCGACGGGCGCGCGCGAGCCGCCGTAGGCGAAGATCGCGTTGACGGGGAACACCGCGACGCCGGCCGTGATCGTCGTGATCGCGGACACGAGCGCGACCGTCGAGTCGCCGCGCTCCTCGTCGACGACGGCGTCGACCCAGTCCGTGAAGAGCGCGCTCGAGTACCCGAAGCCCAGCGTCAAGGGTGCCAGATACCACAACCTCGCGTCCGACGCGTGCGCCGAGAGCACGGCCCGCAACCCCGAGCCGTCGAAGATCGGCAGCCGCTCGTCGCCCGGCCGCCGCGCGCGGTAGCCCAACCCAATATCCAGCGGGTTCCAGAGGAAGGCCAGCGTCGCCAGCGCGCCCAGCGCCACGAGCGACGCGATCGCGCCCGTCAGCGACGCGCCCGCGACGAGCGTCAGCGACGTCGCGAGCTTCACCAGAGCTTCGGCGCTGACGTAGATCGCCGCGAAGATCGCCGCGAACTCGGACGACGCCTCGGCCGGCTCGATGTCCTGCACCTCCGCGTAGGCCTGGGACGCGACGGCGTACTGCGCCGTCTGCGCCACCCACAACAGCCCCCCGCCGACGCCCGCGACGAGCGACGCGCCCACGACGAGGCAGTCCGCGAAGAGCCCGCCGCCCAGCAGCTCGTAGGACACGTAGGATAAAGAGAGCGCAACATAGCCCGCGAAGCCCAGCAGCAAACTATGGAGCACGCCCGCGCTGCGGACGACGTTCGTCGCGACGAGTAAAGCGGAAAGCGTGTACGCGCCGAAGAACACGCTCAGCGTGATCGACGACACGGACCGGCCCTGGAAGCTCGACGCGTAGGCCATGGACGTCACGGCGCAGCCGTGGAGCATGCCGAAGCACACGCAGAACCGCACCCACGTCGCCCGCGTCGTCGCGTAGGGCGGCAGGTCGTCGCCGAGCAGCGTCGCCTTCTCGTCCGGGTCCATGGCGTTGCAGCGCGGTGGCGAGCCGCAGCCAAATTGGCGCGCGCCTCGAGCCGCGTGCCCGCGGAAGCAATTCTGCTCACAACTCGCGGACCACACCGCGGCGCTCGCTCGTTCTTTGCGCCTGACTGCAAGTTGAATACCTCAAGACGACGTTGATGATGCCCACACCCGGAATTGCGATATGGACGGCTGCTTTCCTGTTCCGTGAGGCTGCCCCAGCGGTGGTGCCGCGCCTCGAGATTCCACTCAAGCGATGATGGAGCCGGAGCCCTTCTCGGCGATCGCTGCGGCCATCCTCGAGAGCCCGGCGAAGGACGGCGGCGAAACCCCAAAACCGCACACGCCGACGCTGCGGACGGACGACGGCGAACCCCTCTCTGCGATCGCCGCGGCGCTGCAGGAGAGCGCGACGCGCACGGAGGATGCCGCGCCGGCCGCGCGGAGCCCGGAGGACGCCGCGCCGGCCGCTCCCTTCGGGCTCTCCATCGACGTCCGGTCGCCGTCGTCCGCGGGGATGTCGCCCGCCCACACGCCGCTTCCGACGATGTCGCCCGCGGACACGCCCCGCACGACGAGCCTCCTTCAAAAAAAGGGCTTCTTCCGATACGGCGTGGGCTCCGGCACAGAGGGGGAGAGCGCGACGCGCGCGGACGACGCCGCGCCGGCCGCGCGGAGCCCGGAGGATGCCGCGCCGGCCGCTCCCTTCGGGCTCTCCATCGACGTCCGGTCGCCGTCGTCCGCGGGGATGTCGCCCGCCCACACGCCGCTTCCGACGATGTCGCCCGCGGACACGCCCCGCACGACGAGCCTCCTCCAGAGCAAGGGCTTCTTCCGATACGGCGCGGGCTCCGGGACAAAGGGGCCGCCGTCCATCGACGCGACGGGCCTCGAATCGCCGCCGTCGTCCGCCGGGGGCCTCTCGCCGCACGACGGCGCCGACACGCCGCGCACGACGAACCTGCTCGAGAGCCGCGGGTTCTTCCGGCGCGGCATGGGCTCCGGGCTCCCGCGCATGGACGAGCCCCTGACGGCGATCGTGCCGGAGACCGCGGCGCGGCCCGTGCCGCGCGTCGTCCTCGTGCCCCGGGACGACGCGCGCGGCGGCGGCGACGCCGCGGATCACCCCCTCGCGGACCGCCCGCTCGCGCCGCCGCCGCCGCCGGAGGGCCTCACGCTGCCGCCGATGCTCGCGGGCGGCGTCGAGGCGCCGCGGCAGTGCGAGGGCGTGGGCAAGGTCGCGCGCGCGTCGTCGCGCCTGAACACGGCGACGCCGGAGGTGCCGTCGCGGCCGCTCGCCGAGCCGGAGGACGTGTGCCCCATGGGCATCAGGCTCGCCGCGCCGACGGAGGAATGCGCGGCGGACCGCCCCGCGACGTCCCCGCCGCTCGAGGGCGCGTCCGAGGACGGCGCGGAGGACCTCTCCGAGACCCCGGCGCCGCCGGCGCCCCCGGCCGACTCAGAGAGCCCGGAGCCGCCGCCGGCGGCCGCCCTGACGGCGTCGGCCACGGAGACGCTCCTCGCCATGCCTCCCCGGGAGCCTCCGGCGCCCCCGGCCGACTCGGAGAGCCCGGAGCCGCCGGCGGCGGCCGCCCTGACGGCGTCGGCCACGGAGACGCTCCTCGCCGTGCCTCCCCGGGAGCCTCCGGCGCCCCCGGCCGACGCTGAGAGCCGGGAGCCGCCGGCGGCGGCTCCTCTGACGGTGTCGGCCACGGAGACGCTCCTCGCCATGCCTCCCCGGGAGCCGCCGCCGCGCCGCCGGCCGAGGACGACGCGGACAGCCTCGACGACGTGGACCTCTTCGCGCCCCCCGCGGCGCGGCCCCCCGCGTCGTCGTCCGCGGAGCTCCTCGCGCCTCCTCCGCCGACGTTCGCCGCGCCGGGCGACGACGGCCTGGAGGACGTGGACCTCTTCGCGGCTCCCGAGAAGGCGCCGCTCGCGAAGCCGCCGCCGCTGCCCGCGCCGGACGTCGACGCGCTCGACCTCTTCGCGGCGCCGGCCGTGCGGCCGCCGCCGCCGCCCCTGCCGCCGCCGCCGGCGCCGGCGCCGGCGCCGCGGCCGCCGCCGATCTACGCGCCGCCGCCGCCGACCTTCGACGCGCCCGCGCCGGGCCGCTTCGTCGAACCCCCGGACGCGTTCGCGGCGGACTTCGACGACCCGTTCACGCCGCGCGCCGACGCGCCCGTGGACCCCGTGGACGTCTACGTCTACGAGCGCGAGGCCCTCGCCGCGCGGGACCCCTTCGCCGGCGACGGCGTCGCCGTCGGCGCGGACGGCGTCGGCGCCGCGCTCGGCGCGATGAGCTTCTTCCGGAGCTTCGCGCCGGGGGGCGACAAGCCCCAGGCGGCGACCGTCGACGGCGTGCCGTTGATCCGGCCGCGCCCGTACACGCGCGACGTGAACTTTTTGGGCGGCGCGCGGCCGTCCGCGCGCGACGCGGACGCGTCGCCCGCCGTCGACGGCGCGGGCCGGGACGTCGTCTCCCTGTGCCTCGACGAGGCCCTGCACCTGCACTAACCCGGCGCTTTAGATGTCGCTGGGGTCCGGCGGGTTCAGGAACCGCTCGAGCTCCTCGGGGTTCGGCTTGCGCTCGTAGACGTAGACGTGCGTCGCGCCCCAGGAGCACTCCGCCTCCTCCTCGAAGAGCAGGAAGAGGTGCACGGCGAAGTCGAGCCGCTTCGACAGGGAGATGACGACGGAGCCGTGGCTCAGCTCCTGGCTAAAGTCGGCGAAGCGCCGCACGAGCTCCGGGTTGAAGCACGTGAGGTCCACGAAGACGCACGTGCCCGCGAGCCACGAGTCGTCCGCGAAGAAGTCGTCGTGCGTGACGCTCAGCTCCATGTCCTGGCGCGCATCCTGCTCCTTGTCGCTCAGCGTCGGGTAGACCGTCTCCTGGAACCGCTCGAGGAGCACCGTGGCGCCGTCGACGAGCGTCTGCAGCCCCTCGATGCCCGCGGCCTTCTCCCACGAGTGGCACAAGACGGCCGCCAGCACCGTCTTCCCGAGGCCGCAGCCGCAGTCCACGAAGGTCCCGATGCCCTCCTTGCCCAGGTGGCCGTGGATGCGCTTCAGCTTCATCAGGATGCCCGCGAAGACGCCCAGGTCGACCTCGCCGTAGGACCAGTACTCGTCGAGGAACATCTCGTCCGCGCGCTCCTTGCGGCTCATCTCCCGCGCGTCCTCGGGCGTGTGGGCCTCGGTGGCGATCTCCTCGATGCGCTTGCGCAGCCGCTCCTGGTCCGAGTTGCGCCAGATCTCGTGGCCGCGCTTGTCCATGACGCGCGCGTGCACGAGCGGCACGGCCGCCCAGACCTCCATGAGGCTCCGGTGGATGATGGGCGACGGGATCGGCGGCGGCTCCGGCGGCGGCGGCGCGGCGGGGTCCGCGTTCGGGTCCAGCGGCGGCGGCGGCGCGGGCGTCGGCGAGTGCGCGATGAGCACCCATCGGTCGAGCGCGACGCCGACGTCCGCGGGCGTCGCGCGGATGCGCCGCTCGAGGTAGTCGAGCTCCGCCTCGGTCCACTCCTTCATCTCCGCGACGTCGATCTGGTCCGGGTTCTCCCGCTCGCGCGCGAGCTCCTTCTGCTTCTCCTCCAGAAGCCGCTCCGCCTCCTCCTTCTCCGCGATCTCCTTCTCGCGCTCCTTGATGGCCTCCTCCTCCATGGCGTCGCCGGCCTTCTTCATCAACTTGGACATGTCCATGGCGGCGGCGATGAGCGCGTCGCGGTCCTCTCGGACCGCGACGGACGACGCAACGCGGTGCGCGCAGCAGCGCTGCGAGCACCTGGGGCTGCTTTCGGCTGCCTCGAAGTGCACCGTCGCAGCACCTAGGTTCAATGCCAGCCCTGAAACGATTAGAGCATGGCCGCCGGGGTATTATCAGTGTGATCGCGCCTAAACGATGATCCCGGGCCTGCCGAACTCCGGGAGCCAGCTGTCGCTGGGCTCCATCGCGTCGTTCCAGTCGCACCTCAGTCAGGTGTCGCTGTCGTCGACGGTCAAGGCCGAGCGGCGCAAGCTCGCGACCGAAAGGTTGGAGGAGACGGCCATCGAGCTCCGCAAGTGGCTGCGGTCCGCGACGAAATCCCTCAAGCACGAGCTCTACGAGGATGCCGTGCGGCGCTTCACGCGGGCCATCGACCTCATGCGCGCGCTCTACGAGTGCGAGGAGGGGCGGTCCATCGCGAAGCGCCACACGCTCACGGAGCCCGTGACGCTGCTCGGGCGCCTCTACTACCGGCGCGCGCGCGTCTGGCTGCGCCTGGACCAGCCCCGCGAGGCCGAGCTCGACCTCGACCAGGCCGTCGCCCTGGCGCCCAAGGCCGCGCAGCTCTACCTGCTCAAGGGCGCGACGCAGATGCGGCTCCGGCGCTACGCGGACGCGTCCGAGACCCTGCTCAAGGGCATCGCCTGCGCGCCGTCGGACGCCAACGTGCGGCGCCAGTTCGACGGCTGCCTCCACGCGCTGCGGGAGCAGGGCGTCGCCTACCACAACATGCCCCACGCGCCCGTCGGCACCATCGGCCCAGCGCAGCTCCACGACCCCGGCGCGACGCCCAACGTCCTCGCGTCGTCCGAGGGCGGCAAGGGCGCGCTGGGCATCCGCGCGCTGGGCGCCAAGCTCAAGACGGCGCCCGGGTCGGCGTCGCACCTGAAGGAGGGCGACTCGGACTCCGGCGACGACAAGCCCAAGGCGCCGCCCGCGGCGGCCGCGGACGAGAAGAACACGGGCGACGCGCTCACGGACGCGGACGTCCACGTCGCCTTGAACAACGCGGGCGCCTTCCTCCATCTGGAGGACCTCATCGAGCCGGAGATCGAGTTCTGGAAGTCGAACGGTCTGGAGCTGGCCTTCGAGGAGGTCTTGGAGGGCGTGCACCAGGTGCTCCTCGACTTCAAGCCCGTGCTCCGGTCCATCTTCCTCAACGGCTGCCACCGCTACGCCGCCGAGGACGCGAAGCGCCACTGGGAGGCGGAGCAGGCCGCCGCGGGCCACGCCAACGCGCCGACGCCGCCGAGCGAGGACGCGAGCGTCGCGAGCGCGAACCGACCGGGGCAGCAAAAGGGTGATTCAACGTCGCTTCAACGTGAGTGTTCCGCGCGCGCGCGTTCCGGAAACAGCACCCACGCTTCGAGAGCGCTCCGAGAGATGATCGCCCGTCCAAAAATCAGCCGAAACGAGCGGAAAACGACCGAGATCGGAGCCTTTGAAGTTGGGAATGTCGCACCCTTTTGCTGCCCAGGAACCGGCCCGGCGCGTTCCCGCACAAGGGCCGCCGCGTCACGGCGTCCGAGCCCGGCTCCGAGGCGCCGGGCCGGGCCACGCCCGGCTCCGGCCCGACGCGGCCGGGCACGGAGGGCGGCTCCGAGTCCGTGGCCGCGTCGCGCGCGGGCTCCGCGGAGGGCCGGTCGCGCGCGTCCGTCGTCGGGCCCGCGGCCGCGGCCGCCGCGGCGCTGCGCCGCGGGTCCGCGGGCCAGGCGCCGGAGCACGAGTCCACGGCCGGCGACCTGTCGCGCCCGACGTCCGCCGCGCGGCGCCGCAAGGTCGCCGAGGACGACGTCTCGGAGCTGCGGGACGACGACGGCGACGCGGCCGCGCCGCCGGCGAACACGCGGGGCTTCGGCGAGATGAACGACGACGGGCCCGACGAGACGGATCTGGAGTTCTTCCCGCGCCTCGCGGGGGGCACGGCGCCCGACGCCATCCCCTACAGCAAGTGGTCCCAGGAGGTGGTGGCGGAAACAGTGGCGCTTCCGGGCGGCGCGCAGGTCGCGGGCCTCTCGACGCTCATCGCGCAGCGCGCGTCCATGTCCGGGTCCCAGCTGCTGCGCCTCCTGCGGGAGGTGCGCCTCACGGACCACGGCATCAACGACGACGTCGCCCTCGTCGCCATCGGCCGCACGCTCGGCCGGGCCGCCGCGCGGCGCGAGATGGGCGAGGTGCCCGAGGACGCGCGCTTCTTCCCGAACCGCGACATCCACGGCGCGCCCCGCGACGAGCCGGAGAAGGGCACCGGCGGCGAGCCGCCGAAGAAGGGCTTCCGGCGCATGTCCGCGGTGTCCGCGCACCTCGAGGTGTCGACGACGACGGAGACGTTCCCGTTCAGCACGGAGACGCCGGGGAAGCTCAGCGTCAAGGCGCGGGGCATGCTCGCGCAGCGGCCCGCGGCGGCCTGGGCCGACATCATGGCCCCGGGCCAGGGCCTCAACGCCATCCGCTTCCCCCAGTTCCTCGAGGTCTTCTCGCGCGTCGCGGCCGCGCGCTACTCGGCGAAGATCCCCCAGTACCTCAAGGACATGGAGGAGCGCCAGAAGGGCATCCACCTCGACTGGATCCGGGCCCAGGCCGAGTTCGGGCGCCACCGGAAAGAACTGGAAATGGTCGGCGCGACGCACGACGACACGATCATGGCCGGCGGCGACGACGACGACGCCTCCGAGTCCGACGGCGAGGCGCCCGACGACGCGTCGACGTCGACGCGGGGCTCCCAGGGGTCGAAGATGAGCGCCAAGTCGCGGCCCGGCCTCAGCCGCCAGGGGTCGAAGCTCGGCGCCGCCGCGCGCAAGTCCGCGGTCGCCGGCAAGCCGCCGCCGCCGGGCCGGCGGAACACGGCGCACCGCGGCCGCGCGCCGTCGCGCGGGTCCCTCCTCGACGGCCCGCCCAAGTTCGGCCGGGGCACGCAGCAGTTCAAGGGCGGCGCCCCGAAGAAGGCGCCGAAGCGGCGCATGTCCGTCGTCGCGGACGACGACGAGGATTTCGAGCGGTCCGGCTCCGACGACGACGAGTCGAGCCGGCGGCCGCCGTCGTCGCGCGGCGGCGGCGGCGCCAGCGACGACTCGGACTCGTCGGCGTCCAGCGGCAGCGACGCGAGCTCCGTCGGCTCCGTCGCGTCCGTGTCCTCGCGCGTCTCCAGCCGGAGCGGCCGCGGCCGCGCGCCGCAGAGCCGGCCGGGGTCCGCGACGGCCAAGCGCAAGGGCTCCTTCATGGGCGGCGGCGGCCCCCGCGCCGGCGGCGCCAAGGGCACGTTCCGCGGCCGCCAGTCGTCCTTCTCCGCGGCCAAGGGCGCGCCGCGCGGCCGGTCCGGGTCCGTGAACCTGCCCGGCGGCGGCGGCCCGCGCGGCTCGCGGCTCGGCGCGGGCGGCCGGCGGCCCACGGCCGGCGCCGTCACGGGCGCCGTGAAGCGCAGCGGCTCGCGCACGGGCGCGTCGCCGAGCCCCGGCCGGGGCCGGTCGCAGTCGCGCGGCGAGTCCGGCGAGTCCGACGACGGCCAGCCGAAGCGGCGCGCGTTCTCCCGCGCGGGCAGCCGCCAGAACCTGAGCCGGCAGGGGTCGCGCCAGAACATCGGGTCCGTGACGGGCAACACGAACGTGTTGATCCACCGCATCGGCGACGGGCCGCCCGAGGCCGTCGTCGAGAAGATGACGCTCGTCGAGGTGCGGTCGAAGATGAAGATCGCGCTCCTCTGCGACCGCATCCAGTACGCCGTCGAGCGCCACGTCGTCTTGCAGCCGGAGGCCGTCCAGGGCGCGACGCATTTGCGCGAGCGCGCGGACTGCGAGGAGTTCGTCGAGCGGTACCGGTCCGTGTGGAAGTCGACCGCCGGTTCGGGACGTCCCGACCAAACTTTGAACTTCTCGAGCTCGGTCACATCGAAGTCGATTCGGCTGATTTTTGGACGGATCGATTGCGCTAGTCGAGTTCTCGAAGCCCAGCGGAAGTGCTCGTGTCAAAACATTCAAATACGCGCACATTGAATTTGATGTCCACGCAGGTACCGGCTCTGGCTCCGCCGCGTCTTCGCGCACTACGCGCGCGCGGCGGCCGCGGACGCCGAGGCCGCGGCGGCGGCGCCGACGCGGCCGACGACGGGCCTCGGCGCCGTGCGCGAGAGCCGCGCGCAGCAGCAGAACTGGGAGAGCCCGCGGCCGCCCGTGCTCGACGTCCGCGAGTTCGTCTTCATGATGAAGGACCTGGGGCTCGTGTCGCGGACGCTCACGCTGTCCGACGTCGCGCGGACCCTGGTGTCCGTCTGCTCCTTCACGGGCGAGCCCAAGCTCGACAAGCTCGACCAGGACGACTTCGCGCGCGCGCTCTTCTACTGCGCGGAGGCGAAGACGTTCGACGGCCTCGTCGCCGCGAAGGACCGCGTCGAGCGCTTCATCACCCACGACTTCTTCCTCGCCATCAAGACCCAGACGACGGTCCAGATGCTCTGGGACCAGTGCGACGCGCTCGCGGGGTTCCACTAATCTTATCTAGAGGGCGTCGCGGGTGAGGGACTCGGGGAAGCGGCACGGGAATCTCGGGCGCCGTCTCATTTCGCCGCAGACACTTTGGCGTGCAACGTTGTGCGACCCGTCGGCGCGACGACTCGAGCATGGGCTGCAAACCGAGCAAGCGGCACTCCGAGCACGAGGGGAATTCGCCGCCCGGCCAGCGCTTGAGCCGCCCTTCTTTAAATGAAACCCGGCCGACGCCGAAACGGCTCGAGTTTCCCGATTCGCCGCCGCGCCGCCGTGTGGAGCGGGACCGCTCGCTCACGTCGCCGCCGCGACGGTCGTCCAGTTTCCTCGATTATTTCTCGCCGCCGAGCGCGTCGAAACGGCCGCCGCCGCCGCCGCCGCCGCCGCCGATGCAGCGCGGGCCGGCGAAGGTCGACCGCCGCGACTACGACGAAAAGCTCCTCGCGGTCATCGAGCGCGACTCCGGGAGCCGCGTGTCCGTGAACTTGACGCCGGAGCCCTCGCTCGAGCGGGTGCCCTCGCGACTGTCGCGGACGAGCAGCGCGCGGAAGCCCCTGCGGAGCGCCTCGTGGCGCGCGCCCATGGACAAGAATTTGAGCCGCGAGGACGCGATCGTGCGCCACGCGTCCGTGCTCGGCGCGCGCCTCGCGCGCCTCGGGCTCCGCGAGCGGGAGGCCAAGGCCGACGGCAACTGCCAGTTCCGCGCGCTGTCCTTCGAGCTCTTCGGGACGTCGGAGCACTTCGGCCACGTCCGCGAGACCGTCGCGCGGCTCATGCAGCGGAAGCGCGACGAGTTCGAGCCCTACGTCGAGGGGCCCTGGGACGACTACGTCGCCGCGCTGACCAACGCGTCGTCCTGGGGCGACGAGCTCACGCTCCAGGCCTCGGCCGAGGCGTGGGACGTCGTCGTCCACGTCGTCACGTCCTCGGACGAGCACTACTACCTCATGTACGGCACGCCCGCGCCGTCGCCCCGGGCCCTTTTCACCCCGCGGGCGGCGCGGCGCAAGAGGACCGCCCAGCGCCACTGCTTCCTCACCTACACGGCGCCCGTCCACTACAACGTCCTCTCCGCCGAGCCGGTGCCGCCGGGCGGGGACGTGCTCCTCTAAGCCGGCGTCTTCCGATCGATTAGCATTCTAGAACTCGGCAAAGGGGAGGTTGAGCTTCCTAGGCGTCGGAGCTGCCAGCGGCTCAGGTCGGCTCGAATCTCCACAGTCCACAAAGCGCTTCGAACCGTATCTTCCCAAACAGGAAGCCGATCTTTGGCGGTGATAAAGTTGACTGAGCGGCCGCAGCCCTGAATTGTACCGGGATTCACGTTATTTCATCGCTGCGCGATGTCGCTGGCGCCGTCCAAGTACGGGAAAACGGTGCGGTCGCCGGAGCTGAAGACCCATCTGATGACCGGCGAGTTCGTGCGCATCGAGAAGTGCAAGGGCAACGCGTTCTTGTTCCGCATCGTCGACATTTCGGACTACCATGACTTGGCTGCTGCGGATCAGGCGGATTGGGCGGGCGAATACAGCTGCCGCGCGGAATTCGCGTTGGCCCAGTGGTGTTCGGTCATAGGGGATGATGACGGGGTCTTCCCCATGTCGCAGATGCCGCTGAAAGAGCGCGCAGCATGTGAGGGCATTCCCGAGATTGTGCTTCGGTGGGAGTTTTCCTGGTTCCCTGTGGAATCTATTCGTCAGGTGGTGGTCATCTGGCCCATGGAAGACATAACAGATAAAAAGGTATTTGTTCATGGGATGCATGATGTCTTTGTCATAGGCTATCAGCAGGCTGCTGACAAGCGGTTGCAGAGAATCGAACCCCATTGTTGGTCTACGTTCCCAGAGACGCACCCGGTGTTTGGAAAAGATGATGATCACGAGCCATTGGTGCATGAAAGTCGCACATCTAAGATATGGACAGCCAGATCACTGCTGCTCAGGACCTGTATTTCAGATTTATTGGGCAAAACGCAGCCCGGCTGCTGCAATTCTGCGGTGTTACTGGGGGTTGATGGAGAAATATGGGACATCATCAAGGCTGCATTAACACACCAGTCCATAACATCTGACCTGGAGAAGGTGTCCACCAGGAGAGGCTATCAGCCAGATACCTCCGCTTTAGCAATGCACAGATTCCACCGGCACTTCACCTACCAGGGTTTTTTGGCCAAGACCACGCCAGCATTTGTGCATGTTGGCAAGTTCCTGGGCCACTACTGGAATCTCTTTCAGTCAAAGACCCAGCAAAAACAAGCAGCTACGATATGTGAAAGGTCCCACGTCTATGCAGATTGCGAGGAGGTCCGTGCTATAGTGGAGATGCCACTCCCAGGTGAGGATGTGCAAGAAGCAGAAGAAGAGCATATGAAGGATCTCTGTAACCAGTATGGAATTGCGTACGACGACGGTGTGAAGAGGAGACGAGTGCCCCCCGTTCCCAGTCTATCCATCAAATATGATGCTGATGCCAGACAGTTGCACGTTGCTGTCTGCTGGAAAGCTGGGGTCTTTTCTGATGTGAGGGCGCTTGTGGAGCAGACAGTACCAGGCCGGCAAGTTGCCGCGCTCCGGCCGAAGCCTCCCAAGATCCGCCAGCCATCTACCGGCAAGCCTCGAAATACGGTATCCTATTCGGACGACGAGGACTATGTTCCCCCTTTGAAGACGTTCGCGGAGTGGGAATACAAGCCCGTCGTGCTTGCGGGGAAGCGCGCGCGGGCAGCAGTTAAGTATTCCTAGCATAAATTTATCTATTTATTTATCTATTTAGTTCCCAAAGCTGCGAGTAAAAATCTCCTAAGTCCACGATGGAGATGATGGCAGCCTGATGAGCTGCTCGTAGGTCGCTCAAAAATAATAATTAGACGGAGATAAAGACATCTCCGAGCAGAGCTCCTTCGCGCGCGCGCACCAGAACTCGTAGTTTGTTCTGTCGATACGATTAGGCGGAGAAAGTCGCGCGGGAAGTTGCCGCGGAGCTTCGGGACGTGCTCGCGAGCGTCGTGCATGCCAGATTCGTGCGCTCCCAGCGTAAAACTTGCACCACTCGTAGCGGCGGTCGCGGCGGGGTAGTACGTCCATTGGCAAAATATGGACATGCGCATGGGCGGAGATCGATGCAGGGGACGGGGCTGCCCGCCCATGCTCTCCTTAACTCGGGAGAGCTAATTCGAATACACGATTGCTAAGTCCTAACTCTTAACTTTTAATCGGTGTTATCGTGCTTCGTCAAGCTTCGGTATATTTTGATCGATGCTTGCGAGCATCGGCGCGTAAAAGCGCTGCTGGTAGAATGTCACCGGAGCCCCGACGCAGCCCCCTGCTAAATTCTTATCGCAATCTGGAACTTCGACCGGCGGCTAGTATCTATACCTTACTTCGCTAATGTCGAAGAGCTCGCCACTCCGAGTCATGCTATTGTTGACACGGAGCATGCGCTTCTCCTTGTTTGCCGCGATGAGGTCCTTGCAGCGACGAGCCTGGCCGCGAACCCGAGGTCTGCCACCAGGGTGACGGAAGTTCCGCCTCAGGGTCAAGGGCTCCAACGCGGGCTTCGCCCAGCGGCACGCCAGTTTTTGTTTTTTGTTAAAAATGAATGGGTTTGCAGAGTAAAGAATTTAAGTTCTATTGTAAATCATGTAATTACGGTGCTAACAAAACGCAATTTTAAAAAGGATATTCGCCCCACCGGTTAGTGGTCGATATGCAAAAAACGGGTTATCTGTGTTGTGATTTGTGTTTGTGTCTGTAAAATGCTCTGTAAAGTTGTGAATTGTGATGTGAATTGTGATGTGAATTGTGATGTGAATTGTGATGTGAATTGTGTTTTGTCCTCATGAAACCTGACCTGATTAAGAATATTGCTTTCATGATTCAAATACAAATTTAGAATCCGGAAATCGTCTTCGGAGAACTCGCATATCTTTCTCTTTTAAAATGTAATCAGTATCATCATTTGCTTCATCTTGAGGTCTGGAATCGGTATAGATTATTACTTTCTTAATATTGGAATAATGAGTTTTATGACCCAACGTGATTCTGTCTGTTTTTGGACTCCACTTCTCGTGTGTTAAAGGATGTGTCAAAATTAATACATCAAGTCCATTTGTTACGCTAGGATTAAGATTCGCTAGTGCAGGAATTTCTAAACTCTTCAAACCCTTTACTTCATCTTTTAACCAAGACATATCCTCAACATTATCACTAAATCTTGTATTGTAAGAAAGTGATTTCAGACTATTTATTAAAGGTATCACTTTCCCGAGTTCTTTAAATATAAATCCATTATCGTAGCTATCATATAAGTATACAAATTTAATTAAACCGTTGTCGATAGACACTTCAATACCAAAAAAAGGTGAAAAACCATTGGAAAAGTACATAAAAATGATAATAATACAATAATAATACTACTACAAGATTATTCTATATTATACATTGAGAGATTATAAAGACTGTTTCTATGTTGAAGTATGGGCTTGTATGGTTCTATACAACCTCTCTATGTAAAAAAAACCATAGTTTTCGTGTAGATCCTAAGAATGGCTAGACAATTGGAGATTTTCGATGAATTTAAGTTTGTTCCATTAGTTTGTGTTTTTATATTCAAGATCTTTTGATATTTCAAAATTCATGTGTGTATTCTCTATGGGTTCCAACGCGGGCTTCGCCCAGCGGCACGTCGAGGGTAACAAGGGGGCTAAATTGAAATCTGCTCAAAAACGACTCAAAACTCAGCAGATTCGAAACATTGGTCACAAAGGGGCTGAAATGTGTCTGCTCGAGTGGCTCCAACGCGGGCTTCGCCCAGCGGCACGTCGAGGGTAACAAGGGGCTAAATTGAAATCTGCTCAAAAACGACTCAAAACTCAGCAGATTCGAAGCATTGGTCACAAAGGGGCTGAAATGTGTCTGCTCGAGTGGCTCCAACGCGGGCTTCGCCCAGCGGCACGTCGAGGGTAACAAGGGGCTAAATTGAAATCTGCTCAAAAACGACAAAAATTATATCGAAATGGCAAAAAGGGGGGAAAATCTGGTGTGGTAAACAAGGGGCTATACAAATAAATGGTGAAATCGCTAAAAGAGCCCCAAATCGCCCATGGTAACTAAAGGGGAAATGTGAAGTCCAGAAAGATCTGCAGCGCCTCGGCCTGGGGCATGGCCGTGGGCTTGGATGTCGGCGCGGCCGACGGAGATGCCGTCGTCGTCGGGAACAGCGACGGCGCAGCCAACGGCGATGCCGTCGTCGGGCGCAACGACGGAAGGGCCGTCGCGCGCAACGACGGGAGGGCCGTCGTGGGCCTTTTGGACGGGGCGGCGGACGCCGGCGCGGCCGTCGTGGGGCCGTACGTCGGCGCCGCGGTCATCGGGGTCGCGGACGGCGGCGCCGTTTCCGACGACGGCGCGGACGTGGACGGCGCGGACGTGGACGGCGCGGCCGACGGCGGCACTATCGTGGGGCGCGGGGACGGCGCGGCCGTCGGCGCCGCGGTCGTCGGCGTCGTCGTCGGCTCCGCCGCCGTCGGCGCCGCGGTCGTCGGGGTCGCGGACGGCGGCGCCGACTCTGAGGACGGCGCGGACGTGGACGGCGCGGCCGACGGCCGCACCATCGTGGGGCGCGAGGACGTCGGCGCCGCGGTCGTCGGCGTCGTCGTC